TACAATATTGTATATTTGTTTTCATTAATTCATAAAGATACCTGTGCTTATTAATACCTGTCCCCTTCATATACAATACAGTACAGTACTCTGTATAAACAATACCTCATAGGTAAAAAATAACGTCATTCAAGACATCTTCAGGTCATAAGACCTTTTAATCCCCCACCCAACAATGGGTGACCTGACACTGCATCAGGTCAAGTTAGTAACATAACCCATTAATATCCCACCCAACCTCCATCGCAAGTGCAGTGATATCTTCAATAGCCGGAACAATTGGTGCAGAGCACTTCCAGGATTGAGAGATTTCCGGATAACGAGAGGACTCCCAGAGCCGGAAAAAATCCCTCATCCCGGAATTTTCAGCAATTTTCCGAGTACAGTAATAGAAAAATGTTCTCGGAAGTTCCAGAATGATGCATTATTTCATCTCCCAAAGCCGGTAAAAAATCCCTCAGCCCCGGAATTTTCCGGGTAATGAAAAAATATTCTCAAGTTCCAGAAATTGCGCATTACATCATCTATCGAACCTTGAAAAATATCCCCCCAACCCCATAATATTTCGGGTACTGGAAAATTTTCTTGGAATTTCCGGAAAATGTGCTTGATTTTCATCTCTCAAACCTTACTGACAACATGAATTCATCTCTCTCTCATCCCATTTAACTTTAGTATTTTTATCTGGCTAGCGCTAGATGATTACACTCAGTTGAGGAAACCCCTTCGGTATTGTCAAAGCGTTATTTTGCATTATAATTTCTCCCAACTGATATACTGTACTGTGCACTTGCCCTCCTCACCCCCAGTACCTCCGTGTCCCCCCACAGAAAGTCACCCACCCCAACACATCCCTCCCCTCTCCCTGGGTGAATGCTTTGAATTCACACTTCAAGAGTTCAGGGGTCACACCTCAGGGAGAGAGAGGACTGGCAATCTAAAGTGGTAAATGCAGAACTGGAGCCAAATGTACAGTAGGTAAAAACTATCTGTGCATACTTTGCGGGAAACAATACGAGACCATGGACAATAAATTTTGGTATATGAGGGATGTCACCAGTCACACGTAAAATTTCAGAGCATATCGACCCCCACCTGCACAGATAGTTGTTTTAATGTGGACAAAATGGTACCAGTATAAAAAGTATGTATCTGCAGATGTACGAGTATGTACATTAAATATATGTTAAGCAGATGCTGCCTGTATACCTGTAAGATAATTACTGCTAGTCCGGGAGAAACAGAGAATACCCGGATTTGTCGTCCAGACAAAGTTTTTTGACTCATAATTGTTTGGGTGCTGAGTCCAAATCTGCCGGGTGCAATTTTGTCACCCTTGGGGAAAAAATATTCAAGATGGCGTCCGAGATGGCCACCGAATGCATAAAGTTTGATATTTCGACCCTAAGCATCATAGAACAATTATATTTTGGTTGATATGGGTTTCCAGGGTCAAAGAATGCAACACAGATACTTTAAAAACACTATTTGAAATATGTACAACTGTAGTTAAGATGGCGTCCAAATTGGCTGCCAAAACAATTGTGGGAGACATTTCTGCTTTCATTCATAAGAGAAAGTGATGATTTAGTGACAGATTAATTATATACTCTGGAAACAGAAATATTCAAATATGATCTTAATCTCATATACACTAAAAGGTTACTCCATCTTATTCCAGACTCTGTAAAGATCTACAATATCACAAATTATAGGAGTGAATTTTTCTAATACGTATATTAAAACACTCAAATATTTGAAATTAATCCAAGCACTCATCATTGCTTTCATCATCTTTCTCATTGTGGCACACATTTTCTGCATGATAACAACAGAACATGGAGCATGATAGCATCACAATTACACTGAGCAGTTGAACATGGCCGATTGGCACTTGATTAGTTTCTGGATAATGTCTGGTACTGGTGGCACATCTGAAGGCAATGGAACTGGAAGCAGAAGATTGGATGCCTGATCACTTGACTATACGTACTGCCTTGGGTCATGGTTTGATGGACCAACTTCTAAAGACTGTTCTCCAAATCATGGTCTGATAGTGTGCCCTAAGCACATGTAGTTCAAATGCTGCAGTTGTTGGAGGCAAGCATCTCAGCTCAGGAGCTGAAGTCAGCCTTTTGTTAGACATTTTGGATGTCCAAACATCAAATCGTACAGTAGAACAGTTGACATATCATGGATGACCTTCGAGTCATAACAAGCTGCTACAAATCTGGTGACTTGAGAAACAACCTCTGTTATCTCAGCAACAATTTTCCTAAGTTTGTCAAGACAATGACCAGATTTCAATGTCTGTATGGTGGTAACCTTACCTTTACCATAGAGATAAGCGACGGTGTCACATCCAGAAAGAGCGTGTGCTGCCATTATGTCATCAACAAGATCCCTGTGCATTTCAACTGTGGCCTTGATGTCAATGGTAGATCTTGAAGGACTAGTCCCATCCATGAACATCTTGCAGGTTAACTTCTGTGATGAGTAGTAGTGCATCATCAGCACAAACACATCCATGTCATTGCAAATGACTTTGATGCAATCAACACCACTTAAGGCAATAAACAACACCTGTTTTGCTATATTCACATCCGCTTCTTCGTGAAGCATTTTCATGTCTGTTTTACACATGACATTACCCAACTGAATCTCTTTGGGTACTGCATTTTTTCCTGCTCCTGACATCCTCACTGCATCTTTAATACTGTTTGGGTAGTACTTGTCAAAGATGAGATATACATCAGTCTTTGCAATATGTTGCTGATGTATGCAATCATGTTCTTGATGAAGTTCTCAACTGTACCCCTGGAAGGCCATGAGATGATCCATAGGACAGCACATCCATCTACCACAGTTACTTCAGCTTGTTATCGAAACGAGAAGAAAGTTCCACTCCCAACCTTTTCTTCAAGGTGGCCTTACTCTTCGCTGTCTGCATGTCACCATTGTCTTCAAATGAGGAAGGTGGCACAGGTGATAATTCATATTCAAGAAAAATCTTTGATACTGATGTCATGAACTTGCTGCAGACATTGTACTCTTGAAAAGATGAGGGAGGTATGAAACACTTGTTCTTCTCCAATTTTTACTTGCTTCCTTGAAACTGACATTGTAACAACTTGCTTCTTCAGGGGACTGTGGAAGCTGTTCGGCCATGTTGATTCATAACCCTGCAGTTGATTCTTGCCAATTTCAACAGATCGGTCCACATTAACGACTTTTAGGGCAATCCGTCCTGTGGCAATGTTGGTTATATCTTGGCATTGGAGGTCTGCCTGGAGTGGATGGATGCATTTAGCAAGCTTGTGTCAGAGCTTTTCTTGATCAACAGCATCAGCTGCTTTACGTGCTGGCATTTCCTCCTTATAAACGGTGACACAGCCTTGGTTGGTTTTGTTCTCCTTCAAAGATGCAAAATCTTGAATGAGCCGACTGCATGTATGTAGTCTGTAGGCCCAGCACTTCAAAGCTGATTGCTTAAGTGTGAATACTACGTGGCGAGATGAAGGATGCTTCACACTCTTTATTGTATTGAGCATCAGATGCGTGAAGATCTCTTATTGCTCCTTGAACTCAAACACGTACTTGCTCAGCATGCTCATCATTAAGTTGGTCAAACACATCAAGAATAGCCTATTTGGAGGTTTTCTCTGTCCCTCGGTTTGTGGTTCTGCATTGCACAACACGCCGCCAACGATCTGGATGACATGGACCTGGTTCTGATTTGCAGTCACGACCACAAAATAGACATTGCTCCTTGAAATCAAATGCATTTACTTCAGACCGCCTAATCTTTTTTGAAGCACGTTCCTCCACTGAAGTTTCTCGACTTTGCTTCAAGAGATATCTTTGTATGCGAGTCTTAGACATGTAGGTAGACACACAGTTTTTATGAAAATACACAAGGATGAGGACATACTCAAATCATGCAAGCTAGTCCCTAAGTGTTCACTCAACCCATCACCTCTAAGTCTACTAGCTGCTAAAATGCCATGTATTCTAGTCTGGGTACCAGTTACAAGCTTAGAATATTCTACACCACATCTAAATATTGCTTGAAAACAGCATGCAGGGGAATCAAGAGCAGCCATCATTCACATATTCTGAAATGAAAGCCATGCATTCATAAGGTAGTTGAGTCACCATTACCACAAACATGAAAATCAGTTAGCCAAAATATTAAATACATATCAAATATTTCCTAACTTATTATATGGGCTATAATAGAAGAGGAGGAGTTTAATTTCAAATAATATCAGTTGGCAAAAATAATGCCATTGTATGTTGCTTTGAAGTTTAAAAAAGAAAACAAGGTATATACGGCAGCTATTTTGGACGCCATCGTAAATACGTCTTTATAGTCCAGAAACAGATTTCAAACTATTGTACTTATATTATGTTCCTTGACCATGAAAACCATAAAAATCACCCAAAATATAATTGTTCTATGATGCTTAGGGTTGAAATATCAAACTTTAAGTATTTGGCGGCCATCTTGGACGCCATCTTGAATACCAGGTATATCATTTTCCCCAAGGGTAACAAAGTGGCTCCTGGCAGATTTGGATTCAGCACCCTCAAATTATGTAAAATTAGTCAAAAAAAAGATTGTCTGGACGACAAATCCGGGTTTAGCACAAATCTAGGGTTTGGCTGCCAGATTAATGAATATATTTTATAGTTCATACTCTATAACACAGACAACAAACTACTAAACTGTACAGTATATTGTCTTAAAAAATTAAAATGCCTATATAATGTATTTCACATAGAAATATAATTATGCAGTTACAATTATTTGTAAAAAATTCTTTAATTTGAAAATACTGATGCAGTACCTTTAAAAAAATAACACCTGTAATTAGTTTTGGGGTAAAATTAGGATATAAAGAACCATATTTAATAATCATGGAACAGCTTTATATGACCTACCGAATACCATACCCAACATGCATGCGAGTTACTAAACAAACAAAATGTACACTCACCTTTCAGTTACCTGTGTGGTGCCATCAAATCTGAGGTATTTATGTCCTCGAAGTTTAATGTACTGCTCTAAGACATTAAGAAGTATCACAAATTGTGAAAATATTAAAACACGAGACCCTGAAATAAAGGAAAAATAAAAATAAAATGATTTTAAATACATTTTCAGTATACTGAATATCTTATTAAACATAAAATACAATACTCTAAATACACATAAGCACAAACATGCAGAATCTTACTATCTTGCTTAATGACTACAGTAAGTCCCCAGTGTATAATGAAAATGTATTTCAACAACAGCTGACAGCATGACTTGTGGACCTTCATACTGGTAAAAAAAAAAGAAAGAAAAAAGTTGCATTCCAAGAAAGCAAAATCCATGACCTAGTGGCACTTAAATTTATAGAAAAATTTGGGTTGTGGTCCACAACCAATGTGATACTCAAGAGTCACCATAGAAGCAAAACATCATGTGCAAACTATGAAAGCAAAATTGTGAATGACACTGATATGTAAATTATGTTCGCCAGTCCATTCTCACTCGGTGGTGCACATGGCTTGCGTCAGCCCATACACCATATTCTCTAAGCTTTGTACAGAAATTGCAAGAATCCACCTAACTGGCTGGCTGAAGATAACTCACTAAAACAACATCCAAAAATGTCATCAAAATTACAGTGAAACTCTACCGTAACTAGATTCATTCACGTACCACTGGTTAAGTGAATAAATAGAGAATTAAACCTGAAATTATATTTCCTAGCTGAACCTATAGGGAAGTACTTCAGTTAATGCATATACCATTTGAGGTCTGGGACAGTATACTATCCCCTAACTGGCAGCTGGGGGCTGATTTTATGATTGTAAATGCCTTCCCATCAAAACAAACACTGCAATTTGAGATTCAGTTTTGAGATGACTACCCACAAACCCAAGTGGGAAGGGAGGGTATTTGAGTTGCTAGCTACAGGATTAGCTAGAAAATATGATTTTGGGATCATTCCTCCACTTCTTACTTAGACACCTTCTGCCAGACACTTCCAGTTAACAATAGCCTCCTAGAGTGGAAGGTGGTGGTGCTAATAACCTTAGAACTAAAAAGGTATGCATCCCACAGGAGTTCTTCCACTTCTTGCTTGACACCCTTCATCAACCAGTTCCTATTAGAATTAACTTCCTAGAATGTGGCAAGAGGTGGTACTTTGTATTACCATTATCTTAAGACCTAGGCAGACATTCATCCCATAACTTTTCTGTACAGTACAGTTCTTTGGTGTTATCCTTGGACCCAGGGAAAGCATGAGTAGTCAATACTGATACGGCCATGTGCCAACCACAGGTTTACCAACTGTAGGAAAAAGTGTGGAATTTCAAAGTGTAATAAAATGTTTACAGATGTAGATATACAGTATATAGCTGGCAATGCACAAGAGAACAATAGTGTATCATCAGCTGAGTAATGGCAGCTTAGCATTTCATACTGTTTACCATGTTTCAAATCTCATCCGGTTTATCATAAGTACAGGTATAAAATCATTACAGTACTGTACTGTACTGTACTGTATATATTAAGTAAATTGGTGAACAGGTATTTGCAGAAACTAATAGTACAGTAAACCCTGGATAACTTGTCATTTAATAATTTGCAATTATATATAACTTGGGATGGCTATACTCTCGGAAAAAATTTAAAAATAACTTGGAAAAACGAGTTATATAAAATAACCTCAGAATAATCTGCATACACTTATCGCCTCGTATTTGCGAATTCACTTATTCGCAAAAGATTATAAGTGACCCTTTATTCAAGATTTGCCGTCGAAATTCAGCTATCTGCAAGGCTGTTAGAAATCTTTTGACCGACCATTGTAGATGCGCATCTCCCACACACATACACACACACTCCGTGGTTAGTCAGTTCTCTCGTGTGTGCCGTACCGTCCTACTCCTTTCACTCCACCCAGTACATGGATGCAGGAAGAGAGGGTGCTGTAGCACTCCAATATTTTGGGTATAAGGTGCACCACAGAGTATCTATGACACCACAATATTCAGCACCCCTGATAAAATTTGGTTCCTGCTGTACTGACCCAATAACACCCAACACCCTTCCCCATTCATGTCAGGTCACTATATGCAGAATGTCTCCACTATTATGGTAAATCCAATATTGTAAACTTTACTTACTTTACATGGCAATTCATATTATCCGAATTCCAACCACAGTATCTGAATTTTCCAGGTATCCCAACATTTAGTTCAACAATCCAATTGCACCTGAAGTCATTTACTTGTATCTGACACCAGTAGTGCCATAACCGCTTTAAAAAAAAAATCTATTATAAACAATAAAATTGATACATAGCATGTCATAAAATACAATAGAACATATTTTATGTACAAAAAATAGCTCCTTCCACACTCAAACCATCATCTAAGCGATGCCACACAGTTCAACCAGGCAGTCAACCAGCTGACCGAGAAATGTACGACTGTGTGTGTGTGTGTGTGTGTGTGTGTGTGGTAACGTCACAATGGAGGAAGAGACGTGGGCGAGTCTGCCACATACGTTCACCTTCCACACACACACACACACACACACACACACACGCCTATGCCCTTCATTTTTCTTCTTATATAGTTTATATAATATTTTCTTTATTTCTAAGCTGCATTAGAATACTTTAATTTTAATTCTTTTGATCTGTACTAAAGAAAACGGTTTTACCAGGGTGGACTATAATATCATAAGTGATATAAGTTCCGTGTTTATTTACATACTCAGACTTGAATTATACGGAGAAAACAATTATTTTTGTTAAAATTTATTCTTTATTTTGTTTGTGACAAAATTATTCATATACATATACTGTATGCTACACTGTTTACTGTTTACGTAGCATTCCCCTCCATCACCTCGGCCACCTGCATCACCTACCATTACCCTGTGTCACCTACCATGCCTCTGTGGCCTACTATGATAAATCACTCTTCATCTGCAGTGCTGTGAAGTGTTACTTCTTTTAAATAGTAATTACATGTACAGTAGCTAAAACAACTATCTGTGCATACTTTGTGGGAAACAATATGAGACCATGGATGATAAATTTTGGTATATGAGGATTGCCACTACTCACACGTATAATTTTTGAGCAGATCGACCCCACCTGCACAGATAGTTGTTTTAGCTACTGTACACATATATGGGCTTATAATGTTTCAGTGTTATATTATTGGAGGGGTGGGGAAGTGCCTTAATAATTTAGAATTTGGGATAATTCAGCAATAGGTGCCGAGTTATCAAGGGTTTACTATACTAAACTGACACAATTACTATGATTTATTACATGTTTTCCTTGCACACATGGTCATGATTGTATCCACTTTACATAATTACCATTTTACAGAATCCTCTTAGTCCCAAACTTTTCGGGTGACAAATATTTTACAGTAATACTACTCCCTACCTAACCTCAGCCTCTACAATTACAGTGGTGATGAATACTTAGCATTATAGCGGTCTGTTAACTTTACACCTGGAGAACTGCATGGGGCACTCATACTGGTTGACTCCTAATGCCTTAGTGATGCTCTAATATCCTTTATATTCCCTTGTATTTCCTCTATTATTTTATAAATATCTAAATTATCATCAATTGATGAGTTATGTAAGAGTGTAATGAAGGTAATTGTACAGAGAAAGGATACAGTACATATACTGTGTAATGACAGTTCTCACATAATTTAGCAAGTATAAGAGGAATATACTGTACGTACTCTACATGTTTTGTGTCAGCAGGCTCTCCACACGTATGTTAAAACATATACAATACTGTACTGTACACATAAATAATGACTCGGTAGTTGTGATTTGACTTAATGCTCACTGGTGTTAAACTTGAGGAGCACTGTTAAGAAGAACCAGTTGTTCAGGTTGATAGCTCACTGTACAGTGGTCCCTCGGTTAACGAGATTTCGGTTAACGAGTCACCTTCCATAAGATTCTTAACTTCGGTTAACGAGCAATCCCTCGATTAATGAGTTTCCTACGAGGTGACCTGAACATGTTTTCGCTTGCATTTGGCGGTCCACCAGCGGTAGTATTAGTCCGCCAGTACAGTGATCGGTTCTAGGGCTTAAATTCCTTACCATTTCAGTAAATATCAAGAAGTTTATACTATTCAATAATTTTAAAAGTTTAATATTAAATTTTTTAGTAATTTTAACAATTAATGAACATGCCATCCAGCCTGCCAACACACCATACAGGCATCAGTCTTTGTGCCTTTTCAGTGGAGGTAACATCTTGCTTGAGACTCTCTTCAACTAAATGCTTTTTTTCTGTGTTTGCAAGCAAATTATTGGTCATTTTGAAATTTATTTTACATATTGACAATATATTATGCAGTGCAGTGTTGATTTAAAGAACATAATCTTGAATTACACCAAGAGCACTAAAATTTTATGGGTGAAATGGCACCTTGGGGTGACTTCTCTTTCACCCCAATGCCTTCTCTTCTCCTCCACCCCATTCTAATTCCCATCATCATCATCCATGAGCCTTCTACATACACACCTCAAAGCAAGTTTACTTTTCTACCCTTTTTGTTGAATTTAGGCAATTTTCGGTGAGCTGGAACCAATTACCCCAAAACCCATTGAAACAATGGTTTCGGTTAACGAGTTTTTCGGTTAATGAGCAACCTTCTAGAACAGATTGTGCTCGTTAACCGAGGGACCACTGTACTACTACACAACCTATACAGATTACCAAATAAGTCTTTGTCTTAATCAAACTTCAGTTCCCTGTTGTGCCTCCTGCTAATCTGACATCTCTCAACCAAATGAAAGTTTTGGGCAACTACCAGTAAGTGATACTCTTCAATTATATACAGTAAACTTTGTATTGTAAAAAAAGGTGTGAATTTTTCTTTATGATCTAGTTGATAGTTGAATAACTTAAAAAATTATCTGTTATTTTCATCACCTTGTGTATCTTAACTTTCCTTTAAATAAGAAAGCAAGTTTGTCACTTAAATACATTGACAGTGAAATCAAATTTTCTCATACCTTCATTTTTCAGCTGGGGGAGTAACACATCTAGCTGCTGGAACTTGCCAGAACTGAGAATTAACTCATCTGGCAAGCGGAACTTCTTGATGGACTGCCAGGAAAAAAACAAGCAATGAGTATCAAGTTCTATATTTTACATAGTATCTAATTGTAAAAACTGCTAAAATACTATGATACTCAATACAAAGTTGCTTATCCTTACATTCTACACAATGTTTATTGCATACCAATACAGCATATATTTAAACCATGAACTGATTTAGTTACAATCTCATTTTCTCTACCCATTTCAATACTTCCAACCATTTATACCATTTCTTAGTTCTATCTTTATCATTTATCTTCAAATCGTATCATTACATTCCTGGCAAAGCAACAGCTTTGGTCATATGTTGCCAAATTAAAATGAAGGCTAAAAAGACTAAAATCAAATAATGTATGGTAAACACAAAAGTAATAGATAACATAAAACTTTCATAAAAACTATTTAAACATTAATAGATAAAATTTAAAGCTTGTGTAGAAGGCCAACTTCCTCCTTGAAAGAAATGACATCCCCACCCATGCTATCCACTCCTCCACACACTGCACACGAAGACCTTGAAGGTGGCTGAAATGTATGGCAATGGTCTTCAAGGGAGAAAATCTGAAACCATGCTCTGTGGTCCAACGTGAAACCTTGTTTAGTGCAAGTTGCATATGACGTTCAGCCACTGACATGCTGGAAGCTGCATACCAAATGGCCAAGTTGTCTACATACAATGAGATTGATACACAACCTGCAACCGATGCGGCTACCCAATTTATTGCAATGGCAAATAGAGTCCCACTCAAGATACTGCCCTGAGGAACCCCATTCTCCTGAATATGTGGTGCTGACATGTCTGTGGCTACGTTGATCATAAAAATGTGACTTCACAAAAGCTAACATAATATTGATGGTAAATTTCCCAGCAATCCAAAACTGTGAAGCACTTTAAGGATGCCAAATCTCCAGGCTTTCTCTAGGTTTAAAGAAACCACAGACTGTACTATTTCTATGCTAACCTGGCCCGTAAGCCACACCCCTCGTCTATAGCTGCAAATAGCCGATTGGTTCATAGAGAATATTCGTGTAGCTGTCCATTTATTCAAACTAAATATGTTCACAATTGGTAAGCAGACCAACATGTTATTCTCTAAAATAATGTTAAATATTTGGAATATCAAAATTCCAATGATTTCAAGTCATTAGAACTTCAGAGATGTTAGAAAATTTGCTTTTAAATGAAGGCTTTTCATTACTTCTTTGTTTTGTACGAAACATAAAGCAAACAGAAACAAATGATTCCAAGCATATAGCACAATAGGCAATGAGGTACAGTTTGTATGGCTGGATATATCCCAAGTCATTTATATAACTGATAAAACTCAATATAAATATGTGCAGTCCTGGGAGGGGACATGACCCAAAGCCTAGGGATTAAGTATTCAATTTATGTGAAGTTTTTGGTGAACATAACCATTGCATATATCAAGACCCAAGTGTATGCAAAAAAGATAATGAAATATGCAGATATACAAATAAACTGACCCAATGTATATGACTGTCACACAGATGAATAAATTAAAAGTCAACATTTATAATCAAATGCATAACTACAACATTAATACTAAAACAAAAATGAGTCTCACGTGATAGATGTTGCAAGTAGAATGTATCTCAAAATCTGACATGACTGAGAAGTCCTCCAAAATGTACTCTAGTACAGAATCTCTGTGGGTGGTTCTCTTTAGAGTCTCTGCAATCTTCTTTAACTTTATATCATCGTAGTGGTGTCTGGAAAAAAAAATATTCAAATGCATTAACATCTCTGTTAGCCGGAATTCCTCTTAATCTGAATTCTTTGATAGCCAGAATTTAAATTTTCTCGGAAAATTGTTCCTAAACCAGTAATTTTCCAGAAAATTCTGGATTTGGGATCAATTTTCCAAAGGGGCACATTTTCTGGAAAATTTTCTGGTATCCGGGAACGAGAGATTTCTTTCTGTCTTTAAGAGAATCGTCTCATTACCCGTAATCTCTCATTCCCGAAAGTGCTCTGCAATTATTCCGACTAATTGATACAGTATATAATATAGTACTGTATAATAACCAGAACATAATAAATAGTTAGTCGTTAGCAAATAATTTCAAATATTTCTCTCATCAATTTTGGAATACCAAAAGAAATTGAAAATACTCTATTTTAGTTTCATGTTTCTTCATAGTTTCAGACTTGAAGGCGGTACAATACAAGATAAGTGAATCCTTCTCTGGTGAGAAACATGAATGATTTACGGAAGGAAAAGTGTATGTAGATAAATTTTGCACTCTGGCAAAGGAAGGAGGGAGGGAGGAGGTATTGTGATTACAAACTGACAATGGCAAAGCAGATCCTGAAAATATAGCATTACAAGGAAGAGGAAGTGCATATGTCTACCGAGTCTTGGCAAAAAAGATTACTGTACCCAAAATTAGTGTAGAATGTGCTGGAAACTTGGGTACATGTAGTACACTAATTCCAACCCTTCTATACTTCCGTACTGTATATGGAAATGATACCTATTTCCAAACCATACAGAATTCAAGAATAAAAGATGAATGACAAATTTTATAAATGTGTCTATAGTTACTTATGACGTGCTCATCACACAAATGACAACTTGCCATACATCCATACTTTCAAGAGGTTGTCATTCATACTTTGAGCACCTAATATGCCTCCCTAAACACCCAAGTCATCAAAGAAGGTAAAACCCTGACAAATACAGGTACATGAACTTCTGCACTTTGTCTAGTGATCATAAATATTTATCTGAAATTTCATAAGATGTCTAAATGGATAAAAAAAAGAAGTTATGTACGGGACAAGGCTTTGACCTTTGACCTAGTACATAAGTGACACTAACTTTTCAAAGTGTTGTTTTACACATTTATAAATGATACAGATTCACATTACATTTCATAAGAATATCCTGTTGGTTGACATTCAGTATGACTTGAATTCTTTGGGTTAGTTGAGGGCACAGTAAGGTTATTAAGATTCGTCTCCCTTGTTTTTAAGTGCTACACTTATTAGTCATTACATAACTATCTTTGGGGCAACTGGCCGTGCCACATTTGTCAGTTTGTTTTATTTATTTAATATTATATTCTTTTATGATCGGCCTCCTATGGTGTATGTTTTATCATTAATAATATAAAATATTAAATAAAGAAAAAATAATAATTTGAAATCAAAACTAAACAGCAACTCAATCAGAATTTAATCTCCGTCTCAGCCCCCATCGTCTCCCAGAGCTTCCCACACCCCCATCATTTGGAGAGTATAATTAACTTCCTGGGATTTGTTAGAATACAGTCTTTCATCGACTTACGACAACCTGGACATACTATGGCCATGGTCGTATAAAATATTTTTCACATTACGTATTCTGAATTTAATTTCAAAATTAAAAAATGAATGTACTGTACTCTAGTTTAAGATAGTAGTACAAACCTTATTAATAATGGATGGTTGGCTATTTTGCGAAGAGTTGTAACCATGTTGGAACTGGCATCTCTAGTCTTCTCTCTGGTCTTGTTTGCACCTCCAGTAGACTCCAGTTCATCTACTTCTGTCAGATCTTTAAAGTTCAATTTCTCGAGCTCTAACTGAAAATATTAATATTAAAAAATGAAATGCACAGAGTTTCTTATCTTATACAGTACAGTATCTACATTACAACTCAACTTGTATTATCAATTTGGACATGTTAATGATGGATAATGTTGGAATGCAAGTAACAGCGGTACACCAAATGAAAATTTTAGGCCAGTGTCAGAGCAAAGAAATATCTAAAATACATCTATAACAACAGTTAGGGAGAATGAATAGCAGCAAAGGCAGAGTCTGTGCTGCTTTTGACCCTGGCCACCCTGTGCTGTAAAGAGGGGCTTACAGGAGTGGAAAAAATCTATCAATGGAAGACATATCTAGCTGCCAACCTTACTTCATTTCCAATTTGTAACCAAATTAAATTATCAAAAAAACTGCTTCATCGTGGATATCTTTTTCTATACTGAAACTGGGGTGATGTGCAGAATTTTCCCAAATACATGTAGTTGTGTTACCACTTAACTGCACTCCTTAACATAATAAAAATTCAGTAAGACAAAAAATACTTGGTCAGGATTCTGTTTTAATTCAGCTTCTGGTATTAGGTACTAACTCTATACAGTAAAGTAGCTGCAAATAAAAACCAAACAATAGAGTGGTCTGCAATTTAGGCTGTAACATGCCAGCAGGCAGCCAAGATTTTATCATCAATTTCTAAAATTGTAAGCCAAGTGATGCATTTATATAGACTGTATCCCATAAGCCTTTTAGGCCCCCCCCTACACTACACTTGCATTTCTAGCCGTGTCTCAGTACACACACAGTTGTCATGGAGGAAGTACGTTCATCTCCAGAACAGAACCGAGCCAAACCATCCACTCTGTATGGTACAGCTATTCACTATGGCTAAACTAAACTATGTAAATTATTTATTCTTCTATATCCCTTAGTCTGCATGCTTATTTGTACTTTTAATGTATAGTGTGCTTTTCAAGAACTTCTTTTTAAGTGCACATATGATACATGACAAATTTACTGCAAGCTGCAGCAAAGGGGTTAAGTGGAACAGATACAGGCATCCCCACCTACCCACACCTGTCAATTGATCACTGTCTTCCATGTTTCATTGTTTCTGCTGCATACATTATCGCTGTGCATCACTGTTATCGTTATGACTTTTACGGGTTATTGAATACTGTATGGAAGGTTTGTGTATTGTGATATTGCAAGGCTAAGTTTTCCCACAAGTCACTGAATTTGAACGTGAAGCTTGACATTATAAGGCATCATGACTCATAAGAGTGGTGAAGGATCATGCTACATTGTGAAAGTACTTGGCCTTTTGCAGTCAATGGTGTCAATCATCATTATGAATGCACATTTTCTGACTCAGAGTAGTTCTCCAGCCTTGGAGAGGACATAAAATGATGACTTTCTTTATGATGTGGACTTAGTGAGTGTTACTTTACTGTCGTGTATTGTAGATTATAATTATTAAAGCAAATTATCAATGAATACTTTACAGTATATTTAGGTGAAAAATTTCCCCTAAGATCGATTCTCATTGTTATCCTCGTTTAGTGATAATTTTGCTTAACATCAGGTTTTTCAGGAATGTAACCTCATCATTAACTTGGTAGGACTTTTCACTTATGGGTACAGTATATAAAATTTTTTTATATGTCCACAATACCCAAATTCTCTTGCTGTACTCTCATAACATAATAAATTCCTCCAACATATTGGAGGCGGGCTTAATGAAGGACTGGAACCCATTCCCATTAAAAGCAACTCTGGCTACAAAATTTCTGGGAATGAAGTGGATTTCATGAGCATATCCATTTCATTGCTAGATTTAGCAGAATCCTCCCTTTTGTGGAATCAGTCGACACACTTTAATCTGTTATTTGGAAAGATTACTGTATTACCTGAAGAATTAATATGAATTTTATGTATTATTTAACATAAAGCTGTAACTCACTTGGTGTTGCTGCGCTCTTTTACTCAGAAAGGACACCGTCTCCGAGTAAATTTCCTTCTGACGTTGTGACATTGGAGTAAATGTAATTTCATCATGTTTGGGTGGCAGATCCTACAAGGAGGTAAAGAGAAAAGTAAATAGTTTATGACAATATAAATTCATTTCAATCACACCAACATGATAATCCATCAATGATTAAAAAAGTTCAGTATAATATTCCAAACCATATACAGTGGGGTCTAATTTTGCGCGGGTTAAAATCACTGTACCTGTATTGTACTGGACTCCCCAAACCTACTCTTAGAACATCTTTGGGTAACCAACTTACCTTTCCAAAAATTACACAATGTCACATAAACTGCATCTACATTATTAAATCAATATTATAAGATAGCCTAGGAAGTTAATTATGTGATTCTCCACCACAGGCAGAGGGTGAAGGTTAGTCAGATTCAAAGCATTCAAAATCAACTGCAGACACTTGTAAAGCGGCTTTAATTTCATCAGCAATATCCAGAGCGACAGATTCATCATCACTGGATTCTCCTTCAATTATCGAGTCATAAAAAAGGTGGTGATGAGAGCTTGGCGGCAGCATATAAATTCCTGATAATGTCGATTGTAGTATCCCTCGGTCTGCTGTGGTACCGCCACACCACCAACACTGATTTAGCTTGTCATTTTATTTTAAAGTTATATTACAAATTATATTATAACATATTTTTTACTATTATTTAATACATTAATTATGGAGAAACATACACCATAAGAGGACGATCATAAGGGAATATAATAATGAACAAACAATAACAACACACTGGCAGATGCGGCACAGCAAGTCCAACCCCTCACCCTCTCCTTACAAAGGGAGGGAGTGAGTGGTCAGGGAAGAGGATAAAACATACACCATAAGAGGCTGATCATATAAAATAATAAATACAAGTAAATTAAAAACAGAGAGAGAGAGAGAGTAAATATAGGGTGGTGGCACGGTTTAAACTATTTAGTTTGAATCATTGGTTTAAATCGGCCAACCTGATGATTCAAGAGGGTAATACAAAACCTCAGAACTAACTGTACCTTCAAAACATCACACTTCAGCCGTCTAAGAAAGAAGGGTTTCATTATACGCTTTGCTTGCTCAATCCTCTCACGTTCAAATCGACCTTTATTGCCATTTCCTTCCGATTTCTGGAAATTATAAGAAACTCATACAAGCATAAAACATGGCACATGATAGAGTAATTGCCTACTGAAGAAAAAAATTTTCACACTGCCCTCAGTCAAAAATTGCTACTGTTCTTTACCTGAGTGTGCCCTAATATAAAAAGTATTCTGAAACAAAAATGTTTTAAAGAAAGTGTTCTAAACAAGGGATACCTGTACTAATGCCAAGTATGAAAGAAAGCATTTGATATTACCTATCTACTTTGTATCATACAGGTATACACTTTTTGCCCTGAAGTTGGATGGCTAAAATCTTCATTCTCATTTTTGGCTGTAATCTAAAATGTTAAACCCTCATGGGAGAAGTTCCTTATATTATATTTAGAGCAAAAAGATCTTAAAATTTCTCGTATTTTATTCAACCATAAGAGTACAGTACTGTATTTAATACTCTGGCAGTACAAGTGTAAACAAAAATTACTTGGATTAAGATATTTTTGAAAACTTACAGGAAACATGGAGAATACTCTTTTCAATTCTTCTTTTTTACTGTCAAATAGTTGTGGCATTACGAAGATGAGGATAGACATGAGCTCCACCAAATTATTCTGGAGAGGTGTACCCGTCAACAAAACACGACGCTTGGCCTGTGAAAAGAGAACAAAAAATATGGAATTATTATAATAAAACCAGACCTTAAGTGTTCCCTGGGATACTCTATGCCAGAGGTTGGCAACCCAAAATATTCAAATCTGGCAGAAAAAGCAGTGCTTCTGGAGCCACAGTGAAAAAAATGTGAATAAAAATTTAAAAACAATGTAAAACACTTTTTACTCCATATATAGGTGTAAAATGTTCAAGCAGATATCCCCCCTACAAGCCATTGGACTTTGTTGTGAAGGAGAAGGTCTGAACACTGACCATCAATCTCTTTCAGAAGTTCATGAAACTGTCACTGGTTTAAGCCATTTTATTATTTTGTTAAAAATTTTCACAAAGGTCATCACTTGTGTAAACTCTGGTGGAAAAGACTGTGCACACAGTACCTCTTGAAGAACGATGCAAAACATTTTTATCACATCATGATCCAGCTCTTATTGTTCTTTTAATAGTGAAACAAAACCCTTTTATGTCCTTATCATACCCAGTGTACCATTAGTCACAACAGGAATAATGTGGCTGGTTTGTACTTTTTATTTTCAAACAAGTGATAATTGCTGAAAAATATCTTTATCCCTGTTTGATGTGTAACTGACTTGTGATAAGATCTCCCGTGGTTAGCTTGCTGAGAAAGGTGCCAAATACTGATTTTTACCAAGTGATTGGTATTACTTTACACCAAAATATCATTATAAATACTTTCCTACAGCTTTTCCTATGTAAACAGAAGGGCCCTCTAAATAAAGAGGGGCAGAACAATCATGCATAGCTACATAAATATTATGAATTACGCAATAAAAATATGTCGGCATATAGCCATAGGCAACAGCTTTCCTCAGGAACTTTTCTTAATATTTTCATAATTTTCTGATTTTCAGCCACACGCTCCCTTAAGTTGCTTGCTAAAAGCTACAATTGAGTCCAGCTGCTTCTACAAAACAGGTTACCACTTGTATAACAACCTACCGAAAGTGAGCAGATGGTTGGACAAAGGCTAGGTACTGTACTAGAAACCCAGTGTGGTTGACAAAACACAATGAAAGATGAACCCACAAGTTGCTGCAGCACCAAGACTCGATTAGCTCTCAAGCCTTCAGTGGCAAACTTCCACCTACCAGACTACTTTCAAGGCCTAGGGTTGTGACAAAAGTTTTAATAATTGTTTAATGTCTCACTCAGCACGAAATGAAGACAATAGGAAACAAATTACAACTTATAACCTTTACCTTAATTTTCATGAGGTTTTCATAACGCTGAGAAGCCATATTTTTGAGCATGTGAGCCTCATCTAAAATCACAGTGTGGTACCTCAGCTTCTTAAAGAGTGCTTTATCTTCTGGACTCACAGTGACCATATTGTATCTGAAAATTTACCAGAAAACACATATGAATAGAGAAATGGTAATTTTTGTATATTTGTGGAAGATAAAACATAGAAAAATGAGAACACTGCTTATTTTGACCATAAGCTATACCCTTCCCATGCTAACCTGGCCCATAAGTCACGCCCCCCTTCTATAAAAATAGCCGATTGATTCATAGAAAATGTTCGTGTAGCTATGAATTTATTCAAACTAAATATGTTTACAATTGGTAAGCAGACCTGTTATTCTCTAAAATAATGTTAAATAACTGGACTATCAAAATGCAAATGTTTTCAAGTAATTAACACTTGAGAGAGAATGTTAGAAAATTTTAAATATTTAGCATAAAAGGTCGAAGTCAAAGATGAAATTTGCTTTCGAATGAAGTCTTTTCATATTTCTTTGTTTTGTACCAAACGTAAAGCAAACAGAAACAAATGATACCAAAAATATAGCACAATTGCAATGAATTTCCACAACTTTTATAGCATTACAATCCATACTTCACTTTAACGAGTTTCATATTAACGATTCATCACAATAACGACAGTAATGAAATGTGACACCTCAACACATTAACAATTATTTCAACACAATAACGATCAGTAGCGCAAGTTGATGGTAACTAAAGGTGGCCATCTTGAAGACGTCAGCGAGCCAGCCGGTTGGTGTGTTTTATCAGAAAGTGTGAACAGGATATGTTGTGCAGCCTACTCACTTATCTGTGACAGTATTGTGTAACCTCTCTACTCGTGTGTGATCTGTTAGATTTACCACTAGACTTCACTAGCTTTGAGACTGAAGGATCAGTTGGTGGTGGTACTGGGGAAGCAGTGAGTGTGGGAGCAGGGGGGGCACTAACACCACTCCCCTGTCTCAGATGACAACAAACAGTCTCATTAAGCAGTTCAATGAGTGTCTAAAGGTGAGTTATCATTAGTTATTAACTCTACATGCAGTATTAATGTGTGAACAAGTGGTTGTAATTTTTTATGGGGTTTATAGGGGGTGAGGGCTGGTACCAACTGACCCATGTACTGTACAGTAATTGCCAAAGTTTGGTCTTTTCACATTTGTTTCATTACCCACTTTTTTCTTTCTGAGGCATTCCTAGAGTCAGCAGTAAAATTTCTCCTTCTCCTCCTGTTCCTCATAAAACCACTGTGCTCTGCCTTCCATCTTGACTAATGCAACAATACTGAGTGTGTCTCGAAATATATGGCTTGCATATTATCCGGTGTGAACACTCACATAGCAAACATCGCGAACGAAAATCCACAGTGCAGTAAGCATCGCATCTGGTGTGAAACGGCCTTTAAGCATGGCATAAGCTTGTTTTAAAGAGTACAGTACTATTTATAATACATTTCTTCAATGAATTTTAAAATCTTATCATATTTGCAACTATTGCAATTATATTTTTGATACCCAATACAGACAATTCAGCATCAAGAGAAAAAGCTGCATAACATTCAGAACAAGAAATTATTCATGTTAGTGACCAGTCATAATCAATAATGTAATTTGTTACTTGTGGGTTTGAAGATAATGCACTGATAACAAGCAATGTGCTATATAAAATAAAGGGTTGAACTTGAAGTTCCTTTTTAAGGTATAGGTCTGACTGACTATTAAGAACCATGTGGGTATAGTAAACCAAAGAACTAGACATATATACTATATTAATCCCCCAGCTGTAGAATTTTGTCCATTCAAGTCAGATACCCAATGATATAAGACTTAATATTATGTGACCTTAATTGGGGACAGTTCATCTAATACCCCTTTAGTTAAAGGCTATGGTTGCAATGAGGAGATAAGACATTAATAACAGCTGCTAATGGTAAGGGATTATGTAGGGTTTCAACCCACAGGCTTAATGTGTAATATAAAGTTGGCTCAGCAGAGGGCATTAAGCAAAAATTTTTAAATAAAGTAAAACATACGTGGTCAGGATGACATCTGGATCCTCCTCCAAATTATTGTTCATAATGCCACATCTTATAGCTCGTCGTTCATCCTGACTTCCGTGATACTGAAGAACCTCAAGAGAAGGACACCATAACTCCAACTCTCGAGCCCAGTTGTCTGAAATAAGTATATTAAATAGTGTTAAGTTTCACAATCTGTTGACCTTTAACCCATAAAAGGTCACATTATTAAACATACATGATACCCCTTGGTCAGGAAAAATCGAATTTTTGTTTTATGGCCCAAACACCCCAAATGACCTAAGGAAACAAGAAATACCACTGTACTTGTAAAAGTGGCAACTCGCCTCATTTTAAAGTGCTACTTGGCATTTAAATCCCGGGCTGGTGCAGAATTGCCAAGCCTACTGGCTCCCAGTCCTGTCACAGTACTTCCAGTCAGTCTTGCAGCCATGTACTGTATATACAGTAAGTCCTCGTTTAACGTTGCCCCCGACAACGTCCCGCCGATTCGTTATAACGTCGTCACGGACTAATTTGTACGGCGCATCACCCAGTCAGAGAGGGAGGAGGAGCCACCCTCCTCCTCTCCACTACCCACCACACACTCACTCCACCTCCGCCCATCAGTGACTCGCCACCCTCCTCCTCTCCACTACCCACCACACACTCACTCCACCTCCGCCCATCAGTGACTCACCACCCTCCTCCGCTCCACTACCCACCACACACTCACTCCACCTCCGCCCATCAGTGACTCACCACCCTCCTCCTCTCCACTACCCACCACACACTCACTCCACCTCCGCCCATCAGTGACTCACCACCCTCCTCCGCTCCACTACCCACCACACACTCACTCCACCTCCGCCCATCAGTGAGTACAATACAAAATTATTTAGTTTATTTATCTTTTTGGATGTATAATATATACAATATTCTATAAAAATTCCATTGCATTTATGTATATGTAATGTATTTTATGGGGCAAAGGGAGGCTGGGGAACGTAATTCCCGTATTTTATCTATTTCTCATGAGGAAAATTTATTCCGTTATCGTTGTTTCCGTTAACATTGCAGTTTTCAGGAACGGAACCATGACGTTAAGCGAGGACTTACTGTACATGGATTTTTTTAAGCAAAAAAACAAAAACAAAATCATATGAATGTAGCAGCATAACAAATGAACCTAAAAAAGATTTATGCAATAAACATATGAATGTTTATTTAGTACAAGCGGCAACGCTGCATACTCAACGTCGGGGAGGTATTTTCCGTCCCTCATGTTTTCTTTTTCTTTGCATTTTTACTAATATATTGTACTTAGATTATTATGGCAATAGACAGTGTAAGAGGGAGGAAAAAGTATGGGAGAGGAAGAAGTATGGGCTAATTTCCTAAAAAAAAAAAAATAAATAAAAAAAAATAATAAGATGAAGATGAAAAGATTGAGATGATACAAGCCAATTTAATGACACACATGAAACAAGCCTAATGACCTGTGTACAAATTATCTTCTTAAAACATATGGATTTGTTCACATATTATGCAAGTAATGGAGCACACAAGTTTCACAAATACAACTACCTGATCACAGAAGTATAGGCTACTTAAAATCAGTTTCCTTGTACATAAATTCACACTGAACAGTCAAGTACAAATTTGCTGCAATTAAATTTACACCAGCAATTAATTAAACTCTCAAGAGATGGCTTGGGATAGCTGTAATGAAAATGATGAGGTGAATGTGATATATGATACTGAAGGACAGGAAACTTTGTTCTTGGCTTAGAAGGTGGCTGGGTATTGAGGATATAGGCAAAATATTAGGTAGAGGTTGGCTGAGATAGTTTGGGCATGTGAAGAGACTGGAGGAGACTGTTTGAATCAAGATGTGCACGAGTCTAAATGTGGAGGGTAGGCTAAGTATAACAATGGAAGAGGTTGTAATAAATGATGATGATTATGGTGACTTCTCAAATTCTATATGAAAACTCTAAAAACATCTTACCTAATGTAGATGATGGAACAATGATCAGGCTAAGTTCTTCAGGATCTTCCACTTCCTTTATGTGAGACAGAAATGAGATTGCTTGGACTGTCTTACCAAGCCCCATCTCATCAGCCAGAACACCATTTAATCCCTGTTCATGCATCAGCACCAACCAGTTGAGGCCAATTAACTGATAGCCTTTCAACTGCATCCTGTATAAAATTAAGTTTCAATGAATAGTTATTTTCAAAACCAGTAGAACAAAACAAAACCTGAAATTACACCTTTAAATTTATTCTTTATATGTACAGGGGGGAATGGGGTCTGCTGACTTCCGTAATGATCCACACATCACCTGATGTGCCAGGAGGGTTGGTATGCGTGCCTGTATGGCAAAGGTTTCCACCTACCTATGGTAGGGCAACTGATATGTGAGGACACCCTCAGGCAAGGAAAGCAGGGAAACCACCATAATACAAGACCAACACGCATATTCAACTCTCCCTCGTCCGTGGTGTCATATTGTTTCGCACATAATCCGTGCGGTACTTTTTTTACTGTGTGTACATTTATATGAAATGCAGGGTATATAAATTAAAATCTTAATTTCAATAAATACCCAATTTTTTTTTTAAATCGGTCAAACTAGCAAAATAATCAAGCAGATAAAACAATAGATTCTTAAGTGACTGTAAAAATACTTTACACAAATACATTTTTGCATTTTCTTACAAACACAAACTTAAATGCCTATGGACTATGAGGCATTGCTTATGACAGTGATTGCCAGACGTCTGCCTCTTCATGGCCAGTGGTGTCATTTACTCTGCCTACAAATATTTATGGTACACAATATAATAATAATAATAATAATAATAATAATAATAATTAACGGTTTATTGAAAGAGCTTGGCAGCCAGAAAGTTGAAAATATACAGTTACATAATTGGGGAATGGGTTTCGATTTACAAACAATATAGCTCAATACATCTGGTACAGTATATACTGTGTAACACATAAAGCAAGGCTCCATTTAAGGAGCAAAATGTTCTTAAAAGAGTTTTCGTGAAGTGAAATCTTCCTCAATAGGACCCATTTTCCCATAGAATTCCAAGCTTACAAGTAGTGATGCATTCCAGCCCATTTTTTTTCTCCAAACTCAACCTAACAATATTCAAAGTGAATGCAGCCGACTCTCAGTATCCTAAGCTAAATTTACAAATACAAGTACAAGCAAAAGCAAAAGCAAACAGAGACATACAGTACTCACAATGGATTAAGAGATTCAGGTTGTTTGCTGATTCCTGCATCCTCTTCCCCACTTACAATTCTGGATACAATGGTTTGCATTTCCTTGGCAATATTCTCACATCTCTTCATAAGCCTCTGTACTGTATTTCTTACATGTAAAATAGTTTTTGCCTCATTTAGGAGCTCAGGACCTACATATTTCCCAGTCTGGAATTTGTACACCTGGAATGTAATAAATTTAATGTTTTAGCAACTACCACTGTACATGATCTTGCTACTGCTGCAGCTCAAAGCTCTCCTAAATTTCAAAACAGTATGGAGTAAGTAGCACTTACTTTCAACAATAAAAGAAAAAGGAAATGGTGATGAATTTACCAGTCAATATGACACCCCTAAAAGAAATGCTGGCTAAGGTGCATGTTCACCAAGTGACACCATATGCTCTATATAGACCTCATGCTCCAATGGCAACCTAGGCAGTCAAGTTTTCTCTCAATGAAAAAAAAAGTGGCTGTCACAGGAAGAGATTATATGTATTTGATTCTTTATCCTCATCATTTCATTGGTTGGTGATTAATAAGCTTAGCTGTCTAACTATTAATACCTGGGTATTCTGGGATACAAATCTACAGGTCCAGTGAGATGTAAATTACATGAACCACCTGGTTAAAGGACAGTTCACCATATAAACTCACAATGTCTGTCCAGTCTTTGAAGGGTCGAATCTGAGAAATGACTTCTGCCTTTTTCTTGGAACAGCCTCCAACTGCACTAAGTTCACCAATAGAAGCTTCGTTAAAGAACTGGAGCACTAGTTGACGATCTCCTGTATTTGCTGTACTCTCTTCACCTCCAGAATCTTCCTCACTAATGAATAAAGGTAATGTAATTAAATGACACTGAAAGATGAAATCACAATGATGCCTTTAAGAATTGGGTACAGAACACAAAATTTTCACAAGCTTGTTTAACTATAAAATAAATAGCATAGTACGGTATTATAAATATTCAATTAATTTAAATACACATAGTCAGGTCAAGCACAAGAGTGTACATCCACTAAAAAATTATTTGGCACCTGTGTCATATTGTATCACTCCGTAAGGGCGCCGAATAATTTTTTAGTGGGTGTACCAAACGCTAAATTCTATATTGCTTATCATGCTTTTTTTGGCATGGTTATGTGTGACCATGACAAATCATGGTCACCTCACTTCTGCTGTGGAAGCTGATGATCAACATTAGAAGTATGGTTACTTGGTACTCAGAAGTGTATGACATTTACATTCCTCGAATTTGGAGAGAGCCAACTAACCAATATGATGACTGTTACTTTTGTATGGTCGATTGATTGGGTAAATATCTTGCGTCATAGCCTGTGGTCATTTGATGCCGAAAACTTTCGTACAGTGGACCTACCTAATTACAATAATATTTCTGTTAGCCGGATTCCCTCAAACCCGGAACTCTCCAATAGCCGGAATTGAAATTTGATAGAAATTTTTCCAGAAAATTCCTGAAATTCTGGGTTTGGGAAAAAATTCAGAGGTTGAAAATTGGAACATTTTCTGAAAATTCATGAACAAACTCTGGAAAATCTGTCCAAATTTTTATTTCTGGGTCTGGGAGCAAATATCGATTATGAAATGATGCACAATTACCGGAAAATCTTAAAAAAAAAAAAAAAAGAGAAAATCACTTCAAACCTTTCTGCTCAGGGTCTGGGGACAAGGGTTCCTGGCGCTATAAAAGATTGCATATGATTAGCTGCATCCTCACATGGTTGGTTGGTTGCGTGGGTGGGAAGACCAACCACTTGGGTAACGCTGGATTTTTCTGCTCTTGGTCTATTTATAATTACTGTGCAAATATAAATATTTCTTTAAATGTACATACAATACTAAATAGGTAAAATAATACAGCAATAAATCAATGTAATGCTGAGCTAAGGATGAGTTAACGGAGTCAAGACACTTACACAGCACACATTAACAGCACTACTAATCCAATGTCTTATAACATTTGACTTTATAATTTCTATTTTAAAATTAACTGATACATGATGGCTCGACTTCCGCTACTTTTGCACTTAGACAACTGATCAGTAAAATAACCAGGGCATATGGAGACACATTATACAGTACACAAGTGAGGTCACGAAACTTCGCAAGTGCAACCACAACTGCAAAGCAACCGCATAAATTATCACAACCTGTACTCAAATGGACTAAGTTAATTAAAAAAATTAATATCTAGTGCAAACTATGAGATGTTCATACTCAAATAAATCTCTATTTAGCAAGAATTCCAGAAATGCAAATTTAATTCTGCTAAGTCAGTGATATTTTATAAGCAAAAACTTAAACTCTGTGCCTTTTTTAATCCTTGAGTAGGTGTTAATCTCTCCTCCTGGCTGTCAACACCCAATCTCCCACCCCCCCTCTTCGAATGTTAAGAGTATTTCAAATAAATTCTTCGTTTAGTTCTGTAAATAGAGACTTGGGGAAAGAAATTGTAATACTTTGAGCTTATTAATACCAGTACCCTTCATATACAGTACAATACTTATTTTTGCCTTATTATTCAGCTTGTAACTTGAGGATATCATATTGGAAATGTCTCGGATTATTTATTCAGGATCATTATAGTTTCAAATTCATCTCTCTAACACAAATAGAAGTTTATAACAAATGCTGTGAGGAAGGGAGAGGGGAAGGGTTCATTGGAATGTGACTGCTCTGCTCCCTACCTCCCCCCTCCGCAAAGGGTCGCCTCGCTGATTGTTTGTCACCAACTACAGGACTGTACTGCCTCATTCATGAAAGAATATTGTTTCTTTGTTTTTCAAATGCTGTTTATAGAGCATTTGCATCATTCTGTATGAACAATGTATATACCTCAAAAACACAAGTAATTCCTAGACATGACAGATTCTGTCAGGGGTATTCTAGTGGGTGGTCTCTGAACCAAGTCATGAAAACAAAACTAACCTGTCATAAACTTTTGCACCTCCAAACTGATAGTCCTCCTCATCCTCTTCCAAGTCTTGTTCATCGTGTTTCATAGTTGCCTTCACTGTAATACAAAGTTGTCTATTATTACAATAAAGTTATATGATGCTCAATACATACAAAGCAAATATATTTGAGTGCCTACCAAGAAAAGGATAAAGCCTTTTTCTTTGAAACCTTTAACATGATAAAAAGATATGTAATATCTATTCCTGTGACCCAGATACACATCCACATTAAGCAATAGGTAGCATCCGGCATCAGCTATTTCAAATCTTTGGTTAAATTATCCGGCTCACAGAGTGTATACAAGAGTTATATGAAAAACACAAGCCTTCTTTACCAAAAAATTAGGGATCGAACTATATATGAGAATGGTTTATATACAAGTATATACAGCAATTGTAACTTGATCAATTGATTGATTGGGTAAAATACCTGATGTTACAGCCAGTGCATATTTGACACTAAAAATTAAAATCATATGTTAAAACGATCATATAAATATAATATAAGGTTATTAAGATTAATTATCAAAATTATAATATTAAAGTACTTTGCAATTCATTGGTGGTTTTGTATCCCTATTGCAGTTAAAAATTTAATTCTGTACCCCTGTAATTATAAGTGAGAATTCTTGTTTGTTGGATGCATGCATGGAATATAAAAACCCAGAATGAGCCAAGTTCACCTTCAGAATAAAAAATTAAACCACAACCAATAGCAGTGCTTCTTTATTTTACCTTTCCAAGCATCCTTTCGAGCCTTCAACTTCTCCTTCATCGCTGCTCTTGCTAATGATTCCAATTCTTTCTCGGCCAATTTCAGTTTCCTCTTTTCTTCCTTCTTTTCTGCCGCCTCCTTTTTTCTTGCAATTTCCTCCTCAATTTTTTGATGTTTCTTTTGATTTTTTCTTTCTTTATTAAGTTTTCCTAACTCTGTCATAGTTTGCTTGGCATCCCACTTATTGTCTCGATACATATCTAAAAATTCCTGAAAAGGAAGAAAACATTGTAATTAACAAATAAAAAACAGGTTTACCTAAATATGGGTTCTGTTTCTGGTGGTCACTACAGATGGTGTCATGGTGGTGGCAGAAGTGATGGCAGAAACAAAGATGCCACGAAGGGTGAGGCAAGTGGCAATATTTGAGGTGACATCAGCACAATGGCATAACTTGTACGTAGGGTGTGCAGTGAATCTTTGATCAACTTGGAATTCAAGAACTCCTAATTCTCTATAACTCGCTATGGCAGTAAATTATTCAACTGTATATTATTTTTTTACATAACTCAGAATATTTTTAGGTACAGCATGATGATACAATCGCGGTTTGGTGCAACACATGGTACCCACACGGTCTGTGTAGAAAGCTCTGCTGCTCAGTTACCCTAGTGTGGATACCCACCTGCAGTCGCTCCATTATTTTCACGTTTTTGTGCAAAGTGCTATTCAACCCTCATAGATATGGATTCAACACCATCATCAAGGCCTAGAAGGAGGGGAATGTTAAAAACCCTGAATCTCCAAGAAAATATGAAGGTTTTGGAGAGAGTGGATACAGGGGCATCCATGCATAGGGTTTGTGATGAGTTTAATATTAAACCCAGCTCATTTTACAACAAAGAAGCAGAAGAACAAGATTAAGGCACATACCTTAATCTTGTACGATGCAAGAAAAAACCCCAAAAGGATCAAGTCTGCTAAGTAAGCCAACTTAGATCAAGCAGTGTACAAGTAGTAGAAGCAAGAGTGTGCATCTGGGGTTCCCATACGAGGTGTGGACATTCAGAACACTGCAGCACACCTCGCACAGCACCTGAACATATACAGCTAGTGGGGGCTGGCTGTTCAACTCCCAGAGCTGGCACTGCTTAATGAACCATAAAGTTGTAGGGGAGTCAGTCAACATTGACCATGACAGCGCTGAACCCTTCAGGAAGCAGCTTGAGAAAATTATAGAAGGCTCAGTACGCCTCCTGAGCCAGATTTACAATTCAGTTGAGACGGGCCTCTACTGGAAGTCTCTGCTGACCAACACAAAACCTGCCAGGCAAGAGACCCACTCACCAGGTAGGAAGATGGCCAAAGATCGCATCTCCATCCTCTGCTGTGCAGACGGCACCCACCAGCTGAAACCAATGATTGTCGGCAAGGCAAGGTAACCATAGAGCACTTAAAATATATTATGAAAAACATCCCAGTGATCTACCACTCTTGATTCCACGGCCATTTTTTTTACCCGCTGCACAGTGGGCCCAAACCCAGAAAATCTGGCCAAAACCCTAAATGAGCAAATTTAATCAAAATTAATTCTTGAGATAAACAGATTTTAGGGTCCATAACCACAATAAAAATTTAATGCAATGCGCAGTTTTCAATTTAGAGTGTATTTAAGTAGTCGCACTGAAACTACAAATGTGTGTTTTGGGTTCTGGATACTTCTGGCAATACTAAAAATACATTGTATATGGGGTTATATTATTTTCTATCAGGTATTGCATGTCAGATACAAAAAAAAAATGCATTAAATGCCATATGTTGCACATTCATTATAGATGTGTGGCTTACATGACATATTAGAAGAAATGGTAAGTGTAGCATATCTATTTTAGAATTTGGCAAAATGATTGTGTCCTGAAATGTGATTGGTGGGAGATCATCTACTTTGGAAAGTGTAATTGGTAGATACTGTGTAAGTCCTAAGAAGATGAAGCGTACATTGCTACTTGTTGATTCCTCACCCCTCTAGTACCTCCACCACCATCCCTTCTCCCATCCTGGGTGGAAGAATAGGTCAGATAGACAGAACAGGAAGACATAAATAGATTATAGATGCTGAAACCTGGCTCTAGTAGCCTTGAGAGCCACAGGTGTTGTTATCCAGGTGTCGCTTTGATGTGTGTGTGTGTGTGTGTATGCGATAGTAAGGATTGACTGAACTTATATCAATAAGCTCTTTAGTAACATTCCAGAAGGGGAATGTTCAAAGCACATACAGTAAAACCTCGATTAACCGACCACATATGGGGGGAAGGGGCCAACGGATAATCCAAAAGGTCGGTTAATAGTACATAAAGTCTACGGAAATAAAACATACATTTTTCAAAGTACCTTTCCCTAACCTACCTCGTTTAATTCCCGCTATTCATTTTTGTTCATTTGACATTCATATTTCAATAGAAATTGCTTTAAAACATTAACCACTTTAGTAAATAAATATGAACCAGCACAGAAACCGTGAATAAAAAATGGAAAAGTCAAAGAACATGTAATCACAAAAATTGTGACCAAGTCCCAGGTTGCTTATCTGACTTTCTGCCTCATTTACACACAATTGCAGGATCTCAATTGTTTCTCTTACTATTGACAACACAACATACATACAGGTACATTGTTTCTCACTCTTGATTATTTCATTTTTGCATTTCTTTATGGTTCTTTATTACTATTGTTATTATTATTATTATTATTATCATCATTATCATAAATAATATTATTACATTATCACCCCCCAGGCCCCAATGTGGGTCAGTGACCTGTGCCTGGGTGGGCTAATCCCGTAAAAAAAAAAATTATTATTTTTTTTAGGGGGTTCGGGATTGACATTTAATCCGAAAGTAGGTTAATCGAGGTTTTACTGTAGTCTAAAATTTACAGTTATGTTTTCATTTCACATACAGTGGTCCCTCAGTTAACAAACACAATTCGTTCCAGAGGGTCGTTCGTTAACGAAAAATTTTGATAACCGAATCCATTGTTTTAATGGGATATTGGGTAATTGGTTTCAGCTCACCGAAAAGTACATACAAAGTAAAAAAAAAAAATGCAGTAAAGTACACTTACTTTGAGGTGTGTATGTAGAAGGTTCCTGATTGATTATGATGATGTGAATTAGAAGTGGGGGTGGAGGAGAAGGGAGAATAGAAGGAAGTGGGGATGGAAGAGAAATCACCTTTCAGGGGACCCATCTTTGATGCCGTCATTTCACCAATAAAATTTTAAGTTCACTCGGTGTAATTCAAGATTATTTTATTTAAATCAACACTGCACTGAGCTATATATTATCAACATGTTAACTAAATTTCAGAATGACCAATAATTTCAATGTAAAAATGCAAAAATATTCAAGACACCAACAAAATAGATGTTCACTCCACTGTCAACAAAGCCACACTAACGCCTGGTGGCTGAGTCAAGCTGATGATAGGCGCACAAAAAACTAGTTCCCTGTACTGCATATATTATCAATATGTTAACAAAATTTTAAAATGACTAATAATTTTAATATAAAAAATGCAAAAATATTAAAGAGCACAACTTTCTTGATATTTACTCCACTGGAAACAAATGTAAACATAGAACAGACTACTGAATTGGCAGACTAGCTGATCAGCTGATGCTCACAACAAAATGTGATGTTCGTAAGGATTTCGTTAATCAAAGTTTTGTTCGTTTACCGAATTGAAGATCCTTATGGGAGGCAATTCGTTAACCGAAATTTCGTTAATCGAACCATTCGTTAACCGAGGGACCACTGTAGTTTATAAACAGAAAATATAAGGAAAGCTCCAAATATACTTACCATTTTTTCAACAAATGGGTATACAGATTCCCACATTAGTATGAATTTCTGAATTGTGTCATCATCTGGCATATCAGAGAAGTCATCTGAGGAACTATTGTGACCATTTAGCTGTTGTTTCTTGGCTGGAGGAGTTGCATCATCATCTTCATCACTGGATGCCACAAGTCGCACACGCTTAATAACCTGTAACAACATACTTTTAATACACTTCTCTAACTAGAATTCAAAACTAAGAGCAACCTAAATTTTACAGATATCTGGATAAATTTATGTAGTAAAGATGAACAGCATTCTATGTCAAATCTAAAGGGTGATAGAAACATTAATAATCCAATCCATTATTAACACATCTGGAATAAATAAATAGAATTTCCAAATAATGCAGGCACACAGGCACACACACCGTGCATAAATGTGCATGCATGCTTGCGCACACACACAAACAGAATATATATATATATATATATATATATATATATATATATATATATATATATATATATATATATATATATATATATATATATATATATATATATATATATATATATATATATATATATATATATATATATATATATATATATATATATATATATATATATATATATATATATATATATATATATATATATATATATATATATATATATATATATATATATATATATATATATATATATGCAAGTAAATCACTGTAGGTGCGCGTGATCTAGGTATATGCTGATAACCACAAGGAAAGTAATATCTCCGTTAACTTGATTCCCTCATACCCGGAACTCTCCGATATCCGGAATTGAAATTTGCTTGGAAGATCATTCCCAAAGCCAGAATTTAAAACATTTCAGCATTGGGAACAAATTTTCCGAGGTTGAAAATCGAGAGCATTTTCTGAAAATGTCTTAAATAAAGATGAAAGCTAAAGTATTATTGGGGGCTGACCTGACCTAAGGTCAGGTGGAGGTAGGGTGGGAGATTAGTGGTCTCATATTACTGACCTTCTGATGGAATGTCAGTTTACCTTTTCTTGGGTGTGGAATAAGTGGGTCTCATGACCTGAACATTTCATGAAAAAGCACAAAAGCTAAAGTATTTTTAGGGAGATTATGATAAGTATAAGTGTAAATGAGCAAAGTTGTATCCCTTCAACATTACATTACATAACATTTAAAATATGGAGTGAGAAAGCAAACATGTGTGGGTGATTAGAGATATGGCGTGGAAAGGAGTGGTAACATGCAGCAGTGTTGCCTAGCGATAAGCTCCTCAACAGCTGATCTTTTAATTCGCCTCCATGCAGTCACACAACAAGACCCTCACTGGATGCCTGTTGTCTTAATTCCCGTGTGTGTGTGTGTGTGTGTGTGTGTGTGTGTGTGTGTGTGTGTGTGTGTCAAACATTCAACGAAATATTATTGAACTTGCCAAGCAAATTGTAGGATTTTTGAAGAAGTTGATGAATGTTCAGGAATCAGGTGATGAGGTGATAATGCCAAGACACTTACACAGCGCACACACATGAACAGTACTACTAAACCAATGATTATAACATTTTACTTTATAATTTCTATTTAAAAATTAATTGATAAGCGATGGCTTGAATTGGCTACTTTAGTGCTTAGACAACTGATCAATGCATAAACCAGGGCAAACAGAGACACATTATACACTAGTGATGTCACGAAGCTTCACATCTGCAACCGCATAAATTATCACAATCTGTACTCAAATGTACTAAGTAAATTACTAAACATTTTGTCTACAGTAGTGCAAACTTTGGGATGTTTATACCGAAATTAATCGGTCTTGCAAGAATTCCAGCAATTCAAGTTATATACTGCTAAATCAAGTGTTATCTCCATCCCCTCCCCATATACTCGCTTTTTCAAACTTTTGCATTTTTCGGAATGGGGTCTGCCCCAATTAGTCTGATTTATAGAGGTTCTATTGTACTATAATTAGTTGTACTCCTTACCATGGTCATTTAATAAGAAATAACATACCTTCATTTGAACAATATGACTGTCTTGACTATCCCCTTCAGCTTCTGAGTAATTTACGCCTTTCTTTGGTACCGTAGTCTTGCTGATCAGAGTCTTCATCGAGATTCCACCTAAAGGATTGTCAGTTGATGATTCATCATTATCACCTTCATTATTACTACCATCCTCCTCTTCCTTTGGTTCAGGACTTGGTGCATCAACAAACAAGGGCTTGGACAATGTACGATGAGAAACTATACTAGAAGGCTTCTGAACAATTCTTGTCATTTGAGATATGCTAGTACTGGGCACTGCAGATGATTTGGATGAAGCTTTGTCGTCCAATTTACCCATGTCTCTCCTGAACCTTCTCTGCAATACTGGGCTCGTTTCTTTTCTATCACCTGCAAAAATAATGAAAGTATGATTCACATATTCAAAGCCTAAAGGTCATTTACTGCTGTACACTGGTACATCACTAAAACTGTCACATTTGTCAGTGCTCATACAAGAAAATATTTTTACAGAAATTTTCATTATTATTATACATCTTGTCCATTCCCCAAATACTGTATTCAAATTTCTCACAAATTTTGTTATAGTTATACTGTATAATTGTTACTCAGTTGTTACCACCCTACAAACTTTTAAGAATTGCCAAAAAGGTTATCTAAAAAAATTGGATCCAGGGGTAGGACTGAGGGGAATTTGCCCTCCTCTCTTCCCCTGATTAAGGCAAAAATTCCATAATAAGGATAAAATGATTAGCTCATGCTGATGCCTTTTATTCATTTCATTCCATAAAATATGTTTGCTACATAATGTTACTTGCAGCCATAGTTATGATTCACTCGGAAAGTAGTGCTCAGAAGCAATCCTTCTTTGTATTTCAAATCCATCATGCCAATAGGATTCATTCATTTAAATTTAATTCAGGTTTAAAAACTCATATCACTACTTTATGAGATACTGGAACAACTTCAATTTTGGCAATAATGATCTGAATTCACCTGCTCACCCTCCCTTCCCATGTCCATGTACTGGGTGGAATGAGAGAGGGAGGACGGTGCTGAATTTTGATTGAGAATCTCAAATATAGGGTCACTAATAATTTTTCATGAATAAGTGAATTTGCAAATATGGGGTGATTAGTATATTCACAATAATATGCAAAAATCAGTAATACAAAAAGCGCGTGTCAAGTAAATTGAATGCTACCGATAAATGTTTTTTTCACAAGGAGGAAAACGCTGATTGGCTCCGAGTGTACATAGGTACACTGCTCTCATGGGCAGAGAGGCTGCAAACAAGCACGGCCAATGTCAGCGAGTCTCAAACGTTTTGCCTTATAACTTTTGCTTTGTATTATGTATTTTCATTTTTTGTTCTATTACAAAATAACTCCAGGAGAGGACCAAAGAGCTCTATAATGAATCATGGTTATGCAGGGTAAGGTTAATGGGGTATTACCGTAATTCTTTGTGATAATTTGGATACAAATGGTCCATTATTTTTTACTTTAACAGACACACCCAAATACATACCTTTGCTATTATTTTTTCTATCAAGTTTACTTGTTAGAGTCTCATCTTCACTGACATCTGCTTCTTCTGCTGTTGTTACAGGTGAGGTATTCGAATGACGAAAAGAAACAGTAGTCGATGGTTTATTTATAACAGTAGTTGTAATAGTACTTGAATTACAAGTCTGAAGTTTTTGAGTCGAATCACTTGTATTATCATCAATTGACTTGGTACTTGGGATATGAGATTTTAATACTGGGCGAGGTGAACACTCAGCTGAAAAAGGAAACTCAGAGATACACTCAAATTCATAAATTCAAGAGAGATTACTGTACATAACACCAATATACTGTACCTAGCAACACGGTCATCGTCATCATTGTTTTACAGTCATTTTCCATGCTTGCACAGGTTAGCGAAAGTAATATCTGTACTTAATATCTGCTAGGTTTATATTAGGTTCCCACTCTGTAATGCACAAATAAGTTAAGGATATAAGCAAGTATTTGTGGAGTACCCTCTAATTCTACTTATTATCTTACCCCTTTAGTGTAACATCTATACCTGTGTTGTGCCACATTGTGTATACTATTTCCCCTCCTAATTCACTCCATACAAAAAAAGGAGCAAAGAAGTTATATTAGATCAATAATTTTTACTCTGGTGAACAAATCAAAGCATGAGAGATTAATCATGAAGTCCCTTTCTACAACCAAGCTAGCAGTAGGTAGTAGGCAGCTATCAAACAGGGAGGTACTACCACCTGGAAAGATATTGGAAGCATAATGTATTGTCTATTGGTAGACCCTGCTGCCATATGGCATCACAAAAATTGTGACCAAGTCACAGGTTGCTGATCTGACTTTCTGCCTCATTTACACACAATTGCAGGGTTTCAGATGCCATTCATTCGAGACAGTAATTTTTACAGGGAAAAAATTGCTGTATGGCAACCCAACCAACCCAACTTTAATAACAAAGCATGGAGTTGACTTGAGGGTAGACTCACATAATTTTCTACATTTCAATACATTTTGTTGTCTTATTTCTGATGATTTGTGAGAGGATTTTCCTATTATTATTTATTTGTGTGTGTTTTGCATGTGTGTGTGTGTGTGTGGCTACACACACACACACACAAACAGTACAGGTAAAAAAAATTAAGATTTTCCTAATGGCAAATACAAAGTCCCCCCTCCTCCTCCCAGTCAGCAAATGATATTTGTGTCTTTGGTGATTTGGGCCATTTTGACACCCCTTGCTTAGGAGCAAGGATTCACTACATTAACAATGTAGGGCCCAAAGCCACTTTCATATTTCCCCTGATGCAACCATCCACACCTTGGTTAAGAAGGGTATGTAAAGTGAAATACCTTACCTATGAAGATACCATTTCTGTCACGGTTTAATACTTGTATCTTGAAATTATATGTCAGTATTCTGCACTGTCAATCATGATATCCACAACTATTTGTACATAAGAATTTACTTGACTGTATACATCCAACCAATACTTATACTGTACTAACATTTTAAAACTTACCTTTGTTTGTTGAATCAGAAATGCTGTCCTGATCTGATGCACCAGCTGGTTTTTCATTCCCATGGGTTTTTTTAACTTCGCTACGAAAATATCTTAAGAGCGTTGCTGAAATGAAAAAAATATATATTGTATTATGTAATATGTATGTATAAGCTGTTTCATATACAGTATATGGAAGATTAATCCTGAAATAAACATTTCTGGAAGAAAGTAAACCTCTTGTAATGCAGGGCAAATTATTATGGGGTCAATAAGTCCGGCGATGGGGTCCACAAGTGTCAGTCAATTTTAATCTATTAATCCAAAAGATATTCTGACCAACTTATTTTCTCCTTGCACTGCCAGCCTCAAATGAGCTGACTAATACAATGGTTGCATCCCTACCCCAAGATCTTGTAAGAGTCAATTGGCAACCAATCAGCACTCAACACCACCACAGTGACAGTTTGCCCTTTAGAAATTGCTGGAATGCAAGTTCAGGAAGCTTATTGAATCAATCTGACTTAGGACTGCCAGAAAAAAAATAAAGAGTTTCTGGACCAAGTCTCATAATCCAAAGCCATTTAAAACAAGGTGAAGGAGGAGAATCTAGAAAAACTTAAAGATCCGACCACCATACACCTTCTACAAGATTTGACACAACTGTATTCACCAGGTCAGAATCATTCTCTAACGTTCATATCGGATGTTTTGTGAATCCTCTGAGAATGATTAGTTTTTATAATCCAAGAGTTCCACTTAAATCAGACATATGTCCAGAAAAGGTGAAGCATTTAAAAATGTTTCTGAGGGAGAGATCATTTACAGTCAACTCTCACTTAACATACAAGATGAGTTCCTGAAAACCAATATGTTAAGCAGGCATTAATTTCCCATAGAAACATCGTCATTATCAATGTTTCATGGACATTTTCCATGCATATATGGGTTAGCCAGAATTACCTAATGGCAGCTCTCTATGCTATATAATCTTGTTTTAAATATTGCGATATGCCCCAGAACATTCCTTCTCTCAATTTTTTTAAATGAATTGTCTCCAATTATGAGAGAAGGATGAAATATGAGCAGAGAAACTTGAAACAGTAAACAAGTGAACAATGTTGTCATACACAGAAGACAAAATGTTAATTTAGATGTGAAAATGGATACAGCACTGTATGCTAAAGCATTCTGAAAAGGAAGAATGAGCTGTGGCTATCACCAGTGCCCTTGGCTCAATGTTTAAAATAATTTCTGGCATAGTGGGGAAAGTTTTCCAAGAGTCTAAACTACTGTACACACAGGTGCTGGGGAAAGTTTTCTTTTAGTCTAAATGTCTAAACAACACCTCCTGCACAGACAAACATTCTCCCATTACATTTAGGTTGCAATTAAAAGAGAAAATATTAATGGCATGCGAAAAAGTGTATAAACTTTTTTCACATCTATTCTAATTGTATTAAGAGAGATAAATTTGGTGCCATAATGATCCTGAATAAATTCTCTACAAGACAGCTTCAATAAAAGATCCTTAAACAAAATATTTTGACCTGATATAATGACGGGGACTCGATGCTTTTATGAAAAAAATAATGTTTCTATGGTACTGGAGTCTATAAAATCAGTTCCAAGTACGTTAGAAACACCTAATTTTTTACTATACAATACATGACAATCTCTCAGAACTCACAGAAAATTTGTTCTCAGGGCTGGAAGAGAGAGGTTTGGATAGATTTTTTCGGAATATCTCCCTAAAATGTGCCTGAATTTCATCCTCAGACACTCGTTCCCATGGTATGGTGAGAGTTTTCCCAAAAAGTTCCAGCTCAATTTCAATTCCTTCACTATATTACCCGGTCTTTCTACGGTGGATATCTCAGTCACCATTAATGGATATCTCTGGCTTATTGCTTTATTTTCCACTCTTTTTCCCATGACTGACAGGTTAGGTGTTTCACTCAACTAGGAAAGTTGATATTTTCCCACTATTTCTGATGTAATGCAGCACTGATAAGACTAGTCTCTTTACCAAGGTAACATTGGTGATATTAGGAGTTTACTTTTTTGCCGAACCCAGTACAACATGTCTACAGTGTTACTAACTCTTAAATTAAATTCCTGTCAGTCACAAACTCCTATGAGGAATAAGATAAAATAACAAATACCAGTATGAGGAATGGATCAAAATATTACTTATAAATACAATAACACAAAAAATACTCTATTCCCATTTGGCTGCTGGACAACAGAATTTGTCAATCATTTCACTACACACGAGAGACAGCTGAGATCCCTTACTCCTCCACTTAGCATGAACTTTTAACACCTGAAGAAAGTTTATTCCCTTTTATGGTTTTGATCTTATCATAATTTTTTCTTTTTGCACATTCTACATGTAAGAATGTATGTGCATGTAACTCAGTAAGCATAACATAACACACAACTTAGCCTAGAATGGTAGGAATAGGGGGATGTGGCTATACAGTAGTGATGAGTCTTGTGTTACCATCACAAATACAAAACTAATATAAAATACTGATAAAGCCCAAAAAAAATCGAATATTATTACAGATTTAATGTAATGGCCTTCACAGTAAGTCAAATGGCTGAAGCACTCACAACTCCCAGTATATACCTACAGGTATTTCCCAGCATTCATAAACCATGCCACCTACCTTATGTTATTTCCCAATCTAGATAAAATTAATGCATTTAATACCATAATGGATAAGCTAAATGCTTGGCCGCCTCAACACTTGCCAGATGCCATTTGGGAGGTGGTTTAAATTACTGCAGATTAAGAGAACTGAGTGTACCATCAAATACATCACAACAATCCCTTTTTGGATATGATGGGGTAAAGTAGCAAAGACTTCAAAACTGCAGTGTGTCCACTTCATTAAGTAACACTGCTTAACCATTCCCAAAGAAATCATTAACAAGCAGAGTTCAGAAGCCGTATGGAGGCAAAAATTCTTATTTCTTATTCCTTAGAAATAGGTTACCAACTTACAGGGTATTTACTATTCCAAGACTCAAGGAAATCATAACTACCTTGACCTTTATTTGCATCTTCTTTGTCCATACGAAAATTTCGAAGGCCACCCCCTAAAGTTTTCTTTTGGGGGATATTTCCATTCATATTACTGTAGCTGTTGGAAGTGGCACCTTCCTCTCCGTCTTCAATATAGAAAAAAAGTGCCCAAAGCCCTTAAGGTTTTCTGGAAAAATAATGAAAACAAAAATTACTAAAGATTCGTAGAGTTCCACAAATTTAATTCAAGTCTGTATTTAGCTTTCACACAATAAAACAAAGGTCAAAATGGCCCAAAGAAGACCATCATATATTTTTCCTCATGTGGCAGAGTTGCATCTTTCCAGGTAAGAAGGATCAGCTTAATACAGGGAGTTTCATGTCAGGAAACCCATATCATGCCAAACAATATCCAGTCAATCTTGCATGACTCAAGCACTAAAAAAAATTGAAACAAGATATTCCTTAGGGTACTCTAGTGTACAGAATAACCTGTACAATACACACCATTAACCCCTGGAAGATAACACCCTTTAGACAAGGAGCAAGATACATTTAAAGGCAGAATAAACTATACAGTATAAGTTCACAAGGTTGGATAATGTTTTCTGTTGCAGTACAACAATCATCCTGTGATTGAAATAGGGATGAATTGATCCCAACTGATCCAATGAATAACTCCAGGGACAAGTTATGTTTCAGTTTTGGAGCTAAAACCCATTTAGTAGTTCATCCACTTCAAACTTGTCAGAGCCACAAAAAACAAATTCCTATAGAAATCCTCGCAGTTCCTGTCACTCGACCAAACCATCAATAGCTCCTTCGGGTCTCCGATAGATGTTTTAAATGCCAGTATCTTAATTTGGATACTGCACTCTGAGAGAAAAGTTATTACCACCGTCTATTAATCCTATTTTTTGCACATGGCAGATCCATGCCACCCAGGGTACCTTTGGTACAGTATGTGCCAGAACATAATGGAGTGTAGGTGCATTTCCGCTGACTGAATCCTATTTTCCGAGTAAAATGGTCTGCTAGGGTCAAATCAACCCGTTTACCTTTCACATGTAGTAAATTTTTATGTGAGTGGGCATATACCGGTATGGATGTGTGCGTTTGGCAATGCCCTTTTGTCTGTGGTGAGGTACACCCTTCTACTATATAAAGTGCAAAACAGTAGACCCTTGCCATTCGTGGGTTTGCAATTCGTAATTTCAATGATTCACGGTAAGCAGATGGTGGTTAGCTTGCGAGCCATTTCCCGCAGCACAAGTTACCCTACGCGCCCGAAGCGTTTCCTCTCCTTCTGTGCTCAACCATTGCCTGTGGTGCCGCATCTCGTGTTGTACTCTCAAAAACTTTAGTGTTTCTGTGTGAAATGGCCCCTAAAAGACTGCCTAGTGTCAGTCTTTAGTGATGCTAGTGGAGTGAAATGTAAAAGGCAGAAATCAGTGATGACCCTAACAAAGAAAGTTTAATTATTAGAAAAGTTAAAAGGGGCGAGTGCTGCTGCGGGTGATCGGTTGTTTGGTATATAAAAGTACACATCAGTGCACTGAGGTAGTTTAAGTTGCTATTCACGGCTTTCCCTATTTGTGCCATTCCTTGGAGCCCAACCCATGTGAATAACAAGGGTTTACTGTTCAGTTGACCTCTGACCCAGCTTGGAGAAGGTCATGCCCGAAAGTGCTCCCGTTAGAGACCAAGGAAAATGGCCGCCTTGGATCGCTGTGTCTTGGGGGAAGAGGAGGGGAGTGTGGGGAAAGACGACCTCCTTGCCACTCTGTTAAGGCAGCTGGGGCAGTTGAGGAGTGAGGTTGACACTCTAAAGTGGGAAAATGAAGCCCTCAGGACGGAACTCCTTCAGGTAGGTGTCCTGCCTAGCAGGACACCTGCGAAGGAGGAGCAGGCATGGAGAGTGGTTGTCTCCAAGGGGACTAGGGTCAGGCTCAGGAAAGCTGACCAGGGTGTGGAGTGTAGTAACTCTTACCAGGTGCTGCAGGAAGCTGGCGAGGAAGAGAAGAGGCAGGACGGTATGGATCAAGGAGAGGAAAGGGCAGTTGTACAAACCCTGCCCACAGGTAAGGTCGTGGTAGTTGGGGACAGCCAGGTGAGGTTTGTAGATAGGGCTTTTTGTGTGAGAGATAGGAAACATAGGACTAGGGTGTGTTTTCCTGGGGCTGGGATAGGGCATGTAGCCGAGAGGTTAGACAGGGTTTTGTCAGGGGAGGGTGCCAATCCAGTAGTGTGTCTTAGTGTGGGAGGAAACGAATTAGGTAAGGTTAGGAGTGAGGAACTTTTCAAGAGGTATAGGGAGGCGCTGGGGAAGATTAGAGATAGGGGAGGGATCCCAATAGTATGTGGTGTCTTGCCTAGAAGAGGGGTTGGTCGTGAATGGCTGTCCAGGGCAATTGCTATAAATTGCCGACTGGAAAAACATTGTGCAAACAATGGTTGGGCATTCATTGATAACTGGCAACGATTCTATGGCAACGACTACCTGTACTGTCGCGACGGAGTACACTTGTCTCGTGAGGGGGTAAAGACGTTGTCTGCATCCCTGGAGCGTGAAATTGTCACTCCGAAGGGGGGGTTTCGCCAGTAGAGAGAGGTCGGGGAAAGTGGGAGTCAAAAAACAAGCAGGTCCTGGGAAGTAAAATTAGTTGCTCAGGACAAGGGGTAAAACAGGACCAGGGAAGGGTAGGTTTAAATGTATACTATACAAACAGTAGGAGCGTTAGAAATAAAATAGACTTGCTGAGAGCGGTTGTATGTACCGAGAATGTAGACGTCATAGCAATCACCGAAACTTGGATGAATCTGGCGAGCAAAATTTTTTTATCAGAGTACCACATAGAAGGGTACAACCTTTCTCACAAGGACAGGGAAAGTAGGAAGGGGGGAGGGGTCGCACTCTTCGTCAAGGATACATTAAAATGTTGTATTAATAATTCAATAAAGGGTGAAATAGGAACCGAGTCTGTGTGGGTAGAAATCACGGAAGGAAGAAAAAAACTAATTATGGGAGTGATTTACAGGCCCCCAGGTCTTGGCAAAGAAGCAGCTCAGCCCATATGGCAGGAAATGAGTAGGGCAGCAAAATATAACAACCTATGCATTATGGGGGATTTCAACTTCAGAAATATTGACTGAGACAACATTGTAGGCGACTATGAATCTGAAGACTTCCTAGATGCAGTAAAGGACAATTTTTTGAAACAACTAATTACAGAACTTATTAGAGGTGACAATATATTAGACCTAGTATTAACAAATAAAGAAAATATTATCAGAGATATCACAGTGGGGGAAGAACTAGGTAACAGTGATCACAGAGAAATCAGGTTCACCCTAAATTGGGAAACGAAAAACAATGACAATATGGTCAGAGTCCCAAACTTTCGGTTGGCGGATTATCAGGGGTTAAGAAGGTACCTAGGTGAGGTCACCTGGGAACAGTCACGTCAGTTCCCAGTAGGAAGGGGTGAGGTCATAGATGACACAACAATTGACCATGACTATAATATATTCACTAGTATACTACATAAAGCACAAGAACAAAATATACCATACAGAAAAATTAGGTCAAATAAGAATGAGCCAAGGTGGATGACCAGAAAACTTAAACATGACATAGGAATAAAGAAAGGAATATATAAGAAATTAAAGGGAGGGGAGGAGCAGCTCAGAAACAGGTATAATGAACTATCTAGGAATGTTGAGAAAAATGTAAGGAAAGCAAACAGAGACTATGAAATCAAAATAGCAAGAGAATCCAAAGCGAATCCCAAAGGATTTTTCCAGGTATATAGGACAAAGGTCAAGGACAAAGTTGGGCCTTTAAAGTCAGGGAGGGGAGAAGTGATAAATGGCAGTGAAGAAATAAGCAAAGCATTGAACAGCTACTTCTTATCAGTTTTCACAGAAGAAATTTGCGATGAAATTCCAGAGGTGGAACTGATATTTAAGGGAAAGGAAGAAGAGAAATTAAAGAATATCACTATCAGAAAAGAGGATGTTCTTAAGAAGATAAATAAACTAAAGAAAACAAAATCCCCAGGGCCGGATGAAATTTTCCCTCGAGTCTTGAAAGAGTGTAGGGAACAGATTAGCGGACCCCTCGTAAACTTATTTACAAAATCACTAGACACTGGAGTTGTGCCAGACTTGTGGAAACAGGCAAATGTAGTACCCATATTCATAAAGGGAGACAGAGCATCAGCGTCAAATTACCGGCCGATCAGTTTGACGTCAGTAGTTGGGAAATTTCTTGAATCAATTATAGCAGATAGCATCCGATCGCATCCAGAGAAAAGCAAATTAATCTACGACTCTCAACATGGGTTTACAAAGGGAAAATCTTGTCTAACAAATCTGCTAACGTTTTTTAGGAAAGTCTTCGAGGTAGTAGATAATGACGAAAATTACGATGTTATTTACTTAGACTTTAGCAAAGCATTTGACAGAGTACCGCATCAGAGGCTTCTGGAAAAATTAAGGCTCATGGTATCGGGGAAAGTTTTAAATTGATAAAATCATGGCTCCGAGAACGCAGAGGGTCAGCGTAGATGGTGTTAAATCTGAGTGGGGCCGTGTAACCAGTGGGGTTCCCCAGGGGTCAGTACTAGGCCCACTCTTGTTCATAATCTACATAAACGATCTAGATACTGGGATCAGCAGTGACATAAGCAAGTTTGCGGATGACACCAAAATAGGGCGGCAAATTAATTCAGGGCAGGATGCAAATGCATTACAGGAGGATCTAAATAAACTGCAGGGGTGGTCTGAAAAATGGCAAATGAAATTCAACACCAGCAAGTGCAGCATACTTAATATTGGAAGAACAAATACTTATAATGTATACAGCCTTAACAACATCAACCTAGAGAAGTCGACTTGTGAAAGAGACCTAGGGGTACTTGTAAGCCCGGACCTACGGCCTAGAAAACAGTGCGTTAATGTTTGAAATAAGGCAAACAGAGTATTGGGTTTATATCTCAGAAGTGTAAGTAACAAGAGTGCAGAGGTCTTATTGCAACTATATCTTGCGCTAGTCAGGCCGCACCTCGATTATGCGGTTTAGTTCTGGTGCCCTATTATAGAATGGATATAAATTCACTAGAGTCGGTGCAGCGAAGAATGACAAAAATGATTCCGGGACTTAGAAACCTTCCATATCAGGATAGGTTAAAGAAACTTAACTTGCATTCCCTAGAAAGACGAAGAGTGCGGGGAGATATGATAGAAGTATTTAAGTGGGTGAAAGGAATCAATAAAGGGGATATAGATAAAGTTCTTATAATATCCGAGCAGGATAGGACTCGGAGCAACGGATTCAAGTTGGATAAGTTTAGGTTTAGGAGGGAGATAGGAAGAAACTGGTTCACAAATAGGGTGGTGGACGAGTGGAACAAGCTTAGCAACTTTGTAGTAAGTGCGGGAACTCTGGAAAGTTTCAAAAGGAGGCTAGATAGATTCATGGATAATAGAGTGGTAGTAACTCTCGACAGGAGCTGCCATGCACAGGCCAACCGGCCTATTGTAGACTCCTTATTTTCTTGTGTTCTTATGTGATCTTGGGATATACATGTACAAACTCTTTTTCCTATAGGTGGATCCAAGTTATGTACAGTACAGTAGAAAATGGGTTCCTAGAGTAGATAACATCAAATCTCCAAAGTTATCAACTTTCTAAAAACTTCTTTGTACATTCAGTCATCTTTCATAGTCCCAACAATGGATATGTAAACTAAAAGCACAATCAAGTACAGGTACATAATATTTTTAAATCACTTGAAGATTAGACACCCCATGTTTATTTCACGTGAAAATTCACCACCTTAATGCTACCAGGATTTTGATTAGGTTGTTAATCTTCAGGTGAAATATGCTGTGTTGTCTAATCATCAGATGTTCCAAATGTTTCATTAACAATATCCTATAAGGTGCTTGTTTACTTTTACTTTTATCCTCTTCGCCACTGATCAGCTCGTAAGCCGCTTGGGCGATCGGTCACATTTCTGATACGCACTGTTGGCAGATTCTGGGCATGCACTGGTTCCTGATGGTCAGATTTGTTCAAATCACAACAAGAACATTAGGAAAAATGTATTTTGGGTAAACGCTTACTTAAGTGCTGCATGCAATTTCTACAGAAAAAAAATTATCCTGCGTGAATTTTGCTTTTTTTATTGGAGATAGATAGTTTTTTTTCTGAGGAAAACAAAAAACTAATGTTTTCAATCATGGTCAAACATTAGCCTGACCTAACCCCCTAAAGGGGGGCCTTTGCCCTTCCTCAACCCCACCTGAGAGGTTATATAATGTTGTCAGTATTTAACTCACCCTTATTTAACCTATTGAGGAAACACTATTTTTTCAGAGTTTGGTCATGTATTATATAGCATGGTAATGTGATTCAGATGACCCGCGCACTACACACTCCCCCTCCCATGGCTCACCGATGACTAAATGCTGTATTATCGTATAAATTATAAAAAAGAAACACTTCCCCAAAAGAGAACACAGTTACAAGCAATTAACAACAAAAATTATGGTGGAAATGCAGTGTGTTCATGCTAGAATTGTTGGCAGCATTAATCTACACACTAACCATATTTTTTATGGAAAAATCGAAACCTGGCTTCTATCACAAATTGATAGTTGTCTTAGAATTGTTAAACTACTGATTCCAAAAATTTTAATCCTAAAAATCACTGGATGACCAAAACGATAATAATACCAATTAATTAAGGTGTTAAACCTTCTCTACACTTTACACCATATGTTTCCTACATGAAATTAGGCAGTCATTACGTACTTAGAATAATATCCCTCATTAGCAGCTTATGAGACACATCTTATGCAATTGATAGCACTGAAAGACAAAGAACGATACAGAAAACCAGGAGAAGCTACCTATAGTATGGTACCCCACAACATGGTCACTATAACCATCATGTATAGTCCATTACTCACCCGAGATATCAATTACCAACATAATTACAAGCATTTATTACTTATCCAAACATATATATTAATAAAATTATAACTATTACACAATAAAAACAATTACAGGGGAATAGTTACGGCATTAAGTGAGTGATACACAAGACAGTGATGCACAGGTAAACAAGACCAATGCTTCCCGCCAGCACCTGCGCCCGGTAAGGCCTCACCAAGGATGATCCTCCTATAACAACCCCACAAACGTTACCCTTACAAATACACTAAAATAATGTATCAATTGTATTTTGGGTTGATGTTATATGAAGTACGAAGGAGTAAAGTTTTTTTTTTATGCGTTCTTGTAGTATATTCTTTTAGCTTTTTCATATTTCGAAATTTCTTTAGTATTCTTGTGATATAAGTTGATTTGCAACGTAACCACCGCCATTTGGCAGATGAATATTGTAATTTTATAATTTTATTTACTTGACTACTTGAAAATTGCTGATTTATTATTTTTTAACTATTATTGTTGGTCTTTTCTTGATTACGTTACGATTAGTAGGTAGTAGGCAGCTATCAAACAGGGAGGCACTGTAGTGGATTCCTCCCCTACAAACGCTGTTTGTCTCTAAGTAGCCGATCCCACTAATTCCCCAGTGTATGCCTCGTGGATTAGGTCAACCAGCGCCGCCATACATCACCGAGCGGGGGTAGGCGTGGCTTAGTAGTTGACCTAGACCACGAGGCATACACTGGGGAATTAGTGGGGTCGGCTACTTAGAGACAAACAGCGTTTGTAGGGGAGAAATCCACTACAGTACTACCGCCTGGGAAGTTATTGGAAGCATAATGTGTTGTCTAATGGTAGACCCTGCTGCCATATGGCATCACGGAAATTGTGACCAAGTTCCAGGTTGCTGATCTGTCTTTTTACCTCATTTACACACAATTGCAGGATCTCAATTGTTTCTCGTGCTATTGACAACACAACATACTGTAGCCTACATATAGCGTTTCTAACTATTGATTATTATTATTTTTTCTTTATTATCATTATTACAGTGTTGTTGTTATTATTATTATTGTTATTATTATTTTATTTCACTTTTAATTATAAATTTTATTTACTATGAATTACTATTATTATTATTAAATTTTCGCCCCCCAGGCCCCGATGTGGGTCAGTGACCTGTGCCCAGGTGGGCTAATCCCCTTAAAAAAAATGAACTTTATTGTCTAACGTAATTTTATGAAAGAAAACCTGCAATGTCAGGTAGGGTCAAGGTACATTACAGGGGGGGATCCTGGAGGTCTGGAGCCCCATTCTCATCAGAAAACTCCAATATTTTTTTCTTTCATGCAGTATTGTATTCAGGCGTTTTGCATAGTTAAGGGTAATTACTTTTGACCTCAGAATATCTCTTATCAAGTTGCACAGGGCTTCAAAATGGCCTCAAAATGCCCATGATATTGGTCAGATTTCAAATATTTTTCTGGGTGGGCATATAGCGCCCCCCCCCCCACCCCCAAAAAAAAACTTCCAGCTAGGAGGGACTCATTATGCCCGCTGTGTTCCCCAACCCACAACTTTTTGGACCCCCATCTTGATATTCCTGGATCCGCCCCTGGCAGTGACTACTACTACTACTTTGCTGTCGCTCGGAATCGAGTATGACGATCATCCAGCTATGATACAATGATATGAGTTATTATGGATGTCACCTTCGTTGGTGACATAAGTGTAAATATTAACCTCCTTTATGCAGGGAACTGTTGCCTAAACAAAAGGATCATAGCACACGGGTCAGCGCCCTCTCTCTCTCTCTCTTAGTCAGTATCACATGAGTTTACAACGTGTTTGATTATTTATTTTACTGCGGCGAGTATATTTTACTAGTTTTCATCCACGTGTGTAAAAAAGAAACCCTTGATTTTATGTTTGGGAATGACAATGAATGTTATTTAATTGAGGTCTACGATTTCCTATCACTGCCACATTAAAATTTGATGTAAACAGATACTCGTGATGATGTGATTCGATGTACCTGTAGATTATACCGAGGTGCGGAGGTCGGGGAGAAGATGTGTAGAGGACACTAACTTAGACCACACATACCTTGGAGATCTTAGACACATATATGTACTGATACCACGTAGAACATACTCACCCACACCTTTAATGCACACTCACCCACAAACACTACACTCTCACCCACAAACACTACACACTCACCCACAAACACTACACACTCACCCACAAACACTACACTCTCACCCACAAACACTACACACTCACCAGCAAACACTAGAGTACGCGTTTACACTCACAAACACTACACACACGCGCGATAACATTACACACACACAAGGACGACACACACAGACAGACACAAACAAGAACGAAATGTGCTGTATATATTAAACTATGACTATGGACCTTGTCATTATCTGAACACCCTCCACGGGCACTAGTGAGAGCCTCTCCTCAGGCCCCCGCGTATACATATAAATATTTTACCCACACTGTCTCTGACGTCTCCCTTCACAGGAGTTCTTGAGGATGCTTTCAACTCTCACCCCCAAAATGTTGTAAACTCGAGTAAGTGTCGTGAGTACTTTGGTTTGTTGACTGACTGACTGACTGATTGGTTTGTTGGTTGGCTAATTGACTTCATTAACTGACTGGTTGGTTGGTTAGATGGCTGACTGACTGGTTGGTATAGTGATCTGATTGTCGAGGTAGTCAGTTAAAAAAATATATTAAAGTTATTGCCCGTTCTTATAATCTCTTCTTATGTTTGCTGTGTGGATTAGTGGATGTCATGTTTTTGACTTGACCATGTTTTGTAAGGAAACCCTGTGTACTTACATAAGCTCTCTCTCAGTCTTTGTAATTCAGTTGCCTCCAAAGATGTCTTGAATAAAGACGAAAGCTAAGGTTCTCCATTGTTTCCCTTTTCCCTGTGATTTTATATATATATATATATATATATATATATATATATATATATATATATAATGTGTGTGTGTGTAATTTGTTGTGTGAACGAGGCTTAAAACTTAGATGTGCCCCTTTAATATTGAACCCTTGCACCCTCGCCATAAACTTCAGTGATTCTTTGTTGACACCGCCATAGAGGGGTCAGGCTACGAATGTAACACCAACACCGAAAATATTCTTTACCATTAAACTGCGCGGCTCTGGATTATCATCATCGTACACATAACAGCTGAAGCTATAATTTACTGTATTTCCTTAAATCATAAAAGGAGAAAAAATCAATAGGGACCTTGAACTGGTCCCCGTTGTCTGTACATGGATAACAGCTACTAACTATGGCAACTGATCAGCTGATTCGATAACACTGAGAACGTGATTGCAGTTCAGAATATAGAGTACATGCTGCAGGTAAGCGAGATATAATTAGAGCTCGAGAACCATTTAAGTTTTGCATTAAAGTAAACTGAAGTATCGCCATCTCTCTGCCTAGGTGTTTTAATTTAGGAGAGAAACTTCAATTAAGTTTTACATTATAATACGATAACATTTTTGTCATTTGACATTTCCATTATCACCTTTAATGTATTAACTTTTCAAGCTTTAGTTCCACGATGGTTATAAAACTATGCGATTTCTCTCTTTTGTGTTTACAGGGCCAAAACGTGCTTTACTACTCTGCCTGCATATGTTCCATTAAGTGTTTGTTGCGATTGAGACTTTCCTTGGTTAACGAAACAGCCAATCAACTGCTGTCGTTCATCTCTACGAAATCTTGCATATGCATATATAACAGGGGTCAAGATTGCTCATAGCCACTAAGCCAGGTGTTTCCTATAGAGTCCCCAGTCTGCCCTTTGGGTATTGTATCTCCATCTCGGCGGGGGTGGAGTGGGGAGTTTGTTCACCTTGAGTGTTGTTAGGGTGGCAAAGTGGTCGCTGGTCAGAGTGGGTGTAGCTGCCAGGAGGCCGAAGGCTGTAGTGCAAGATCTAGCCTCCCTCCCCTAATGTGGGTGGGCTCTCCGATGTTTAGAAGGCCGATCTCGGGTGTGTCTTGAAAGGTGGTGTATAGGTGTAGACCATCTTCATTTGTGAGAAACAATATATATGTATGTTGTGTTGCCAATGGTAAGAGAAAAAAATTTTGTGATGCTATATGGCAGCAGGGTCTCCCATTAGACAATACATTAAGCTTCCAGTATCTTCCCAGGCGGTAGTACCTCCCTGTTTGGTAGCTGCCTACTACCTACCTACTTGGTATGTATGTATCCTCTCATTTATTTGGCCGCTTTCATTATGTGAAGAGGGTTCACTATCTAATATTTCTTTGACCATGTTATAAGAACATTGTGAATGTATTTATGTGATGAACATAGAACTATAACAAATCACACTGTACACCTGGAAAAAATTAGCGCGCGCTTCCTCTGTTCCGTTTCACTTGCACACTGAAACAAACATACACACTCAAACAAACACAATCATTCAAACAAACACACACACTCAAATAAACACATAGACAAACAAACACACACACTCAAATAAACACACACACAGACGAACCAATTAACCTCGAAATGAAACATTTGGAATTTCCATTGAGGTCTTGGGCCAAATTAGGTGGCAGGGAAGTCTGTGAAGATTTTGTTTCTCTGAAATCCCATTACTGTGTCGAGTGTCTACCGGCTTACAGTGCCAGGCGGGCGGTGCTAAATTACATGGGAATTTCAGCTTAATATTTTTTCATTGTCAACAATTGTAGTTTTGTGAGGGTTAATTAATGTATATCAGTTGTGGGTTGACCGTCAATCTTTGCACTGTACTGTTGGTGGGAGAATGTTGATAAATCCAGCTGGGGAAAGCCCGACAATCCAGGCTGGCAGCTGTCTCCGTGGTCAAGAGACCACGGCCGCGTCAACGGGCAGCGCCGACGTCCTCACCCTATAAAGGCTGAAGACGGAGTGATATGATATGATATATATGATATGGAGATTAAAATGTTAGCTTCTATTTCACTCCGAAAAGGTTTCGTCAGTTCGTCGAAGACATTGACGTGCAAATTCAAAGTTTTTATTCTTGCCGTTTGTTTTGGAAGATGAGTTTAAGTTGAAATCTAAAGTTTAATTTTTCTCTGCTTTCAGTTTGATATGAATTTTGTGTACGTGTATCGTTTTTTGTTGGTCAGATGGAGTTGTTAGTTGTTTTACTGAACAAAATAGCATGAAAATCTATACCTAACTTGTTTCGCGTCTTTTCGTCATCAAATGTAGAATCAACACTTGAACGCTTGCTAAAGAGAATGAGAGAAAGTCCGAGGACAAAAACTCAGATGAGCTATTTACACTGATACGCCAATTCACATAGTATACAGTATACAGAAAAAAAATGTTGGTTCAAATATACTTGACATATATGCATATTATATTTACTTATCTATTTGCGTAAAAGTCATGGTGAAGATATAAACGAAAACTAATGGAAATGGCGCTTCCCACAACAATCGAGAATGGGAATATCTCTGGCATTATAAAGATTTCGTTAGAAGTACCTACTTGGTTTCAGCAAAAGCCTATCATGATAAAATTTCGAAGATAAATTAATATCAAAGTATTGTATCAATAGGAAGTTATCGACTAGTGGGTGAAAACAAACGAATCTTTGGCGAGTGTCTTCAGGAGGATCCCCACGACCTTCGAGACTCCTTCCTGGACCCCTCCGACTTTCCGATTCCCTCCTGGACCCCCACGACCTTCCCAAACTTTCTCCTGGACCCCCATGACTTTCCCGACTACTTCCTGGGCCCCCACGACCTTCCCGACTCCCTCCTGAACAGTCTCCTGATCACAATGTTAATCTTCAAAGATGTGGTAAATTTTTAAGCAATTCACAGACGAGTCATAACAGTGGCCACACTTGTTAGCTTTATTAGTTGCTGTGATCACGAAAATTGTATTGAACACCTGAAACTTTGTTGCCGTTATCAAAGAAAGTAGTCTTCTAACATTTTGTTAACAGAATTAATTCATTGATCTTATTCTTGATTTGCAGGACGGACAACTCCAGTTGTGTTGTTTTATAAAGGGATCTATTCTAGTGGTTGTAAAATAACAACAGCTTTTGTGGAACTGATTTTTCTCTCAATATCCTTTGGGTTGGGACTTTTTAATTAACGTGATGAAAATTGTTTTTTAATCAACATAATTAACTTTATCAGGGAAGTATCACCTGTACCAGCGGGGAGGAGGACTGCACCACGTGATTAACACTTCCACTGGAGACCTACACTCCTACAGTATTTGGAATCTGAACGCAAAAGCCTCTTGATTGACTACTGCTCACAGATCCTGTCATCTATTACTTTTCTTACTAAACAAGGAACTGTATAGAGGCTGAAGCCAACACCTATTGAGCGTTGGTCTTTGTCGATATGTATTCTTGTACGTACAGTCCCGGACGAAAGTTCTCACTACAGTCAAGGACTCAAGGTGGATGGGGTAAAGTCCGCCCACCCATACTGGACGACGGGTGTGCTGTCCAACCATCGCCTCCCACCCTATTATGTTAAATAGCGTAAAACTTGATTGAGTATCGTTTCGTGTATTTATTGACAAAACATTAACTTTATTAAACTGAGAAGATCCGGAACCTGGTTAGAAGGACCAACACTACCTAACCTAACTAATGCCAATTAGCAGTTCCATTGAAGTGTGTTCTTTTCGGGAATCATTAATAGATATTTGAATGTAATTTTCAGCACATTATCGTTCCCCCAAAGCAATACAAAATATTTTAGAAATCAACACATAAAACCAATAGAATCATCTATTTCCTTTACAAAAATTAACAGTTCAGCAAACCGAGAAGACCTAATAAATAATTATTATTTGCATATAAAGTACATACCTGAACAGCACTCGTCATTCAGTGGTCGAACTAGTCCGTGGCCAGACAAGTGCACGATCTGTCGGTGAATGGTTGGAATGTTGACAGGCAATGCTTTCATTGTTCCTCTTCGTCTTTGTGGTCTCCGATTCAGAGGATCGAAGTTGCATTTTTTTGGTTGCATTCACCGATCACTTAAGGCAATTCAGATCACCACAAAATATCACCGAATCTCAATTTAAATACTTCTGCCCAGCCAAAAAATGGGTTACGGTCCGTAGTTTCATTTCTTTTCTATCATCGGCTGGCAGCTAGTATAAACTTTAAGGCCTTCGCTGGGAGTTGAAAACACAAATCAGCACACAACAGTTTACCTCTGTAATTTTAGCAGTCTACGTAACTAACGCAGAATAAAAAACAAAAATGGCTAAATAGTCCTGGGGTTTCCTTTAGAATGCTTTGCGCTAAACAAACAATGACGGAGTAGTGGTTTACATCTACTCACTTTCAGATTCGTTTCTCTACGACTCGACAGACGCAGAGAAAAAAGTCGCGTCTCTGTCACTCACAGATTACAATTAAACTTTTAACATTATTTCACACTCGACAAACTTTGCACAAACATCAAAGCTTCCCTCAATGACAGAAAAGGCAATTAAGGAGCTACTGAATGTGACGGGAGGGCGAGGGGCAGAATTGAGTTGTTGACCCAGCTCGCCGCCGCCTGCGGCAGGCTCCAGGCGGCGCATGCGCAGAGAATGTGTTACGGTACTAGGCCAAAGACTATACAAGAAAACCGGGAAAGCTTTTCCCTTTATCGCTAAAAAAAACGTGAGACACTGAGTTCCGATCAACACCATCTGTTGGTAACTCGGTTAACTAAAAGCCCGGGGCACGTGAGGGTAGCGTGTCCATGGTAACCAGAGGAGTGAGCTGACATTACTTTGACGTCTTTGCCTTGACGTTCTTAATGTGTACATATGCACACACATACACACTGACACAAACACATACAATATCACACAGTAAATTCTATATGATCAATGATATATAGCAACACGAAAACGTGAAACACAAGCTCAGGGTGATCTGTATTTGTATGTACGTGTGGATACGGCACACGGGTGATGGTGACGCCCACTCATGGTTAAAGGTTCCAGTCTTCGTGTAAACAAACAGACGACGTACAGACGACCAGCGCCTTGCACACTAACGCCATCTGTTGGTCCCGCTATGTGGCTTACGTGGTTTTCGCCTTGTTTTCCCGTCTTTTTTATATAGTCTTTGGGTCTAAACAAGGAAAGTATATATTCCTTGGTACAGTCTCGTTCAAGACTCTTCGAACACTGCTGGAGACAGCTGGCAACTTGGGGCCGTTTGTTACTATAGTACGTAGTATAATATAATACGAAACAACAAATCCCTACCATTAAATTAAGCAACGGGGATTAAGTAACCAATCACCTATCACATTTACATTTATTTGTAATTTTTACTACGTACTATAGTAAACAAACGGCCTCGAGTTGGCAGCTGTCTCCAGCAGTGTTCGAAGAGTCTTGAACGAGACAGTACTAGGCTTCGAATCAGAATGCTTTTGACTTTGACGTTATATTGTTCTTACTGCGCGTAGCAAGGTTAACAATAACACGTACATCAACAATTAAACCTTTTGAGAGATAGAACTTTGATCAGAATGTAAACACCGTGAAGGTAACTATTTGATTCGGTAGTTTAATGTTCCAGCATTTGTTTACTTAAACGGGTCTGTTAATTCTTCATACATTATTTTGCGTTGCGTTATTATCATTTCTATAGTTGGAAGACGCAAATATTTCATAGCATCAGGCAATTGTAATAACCTGAAGCATATTATGAACAAAGGATTAGAAAATCCACAATATATTTTTAAACTATTTTTTTTGAGGAGGAAAGAAAAACCACCAACACAGTTCTTATATTTATTACACTCTTTTATATGACACATACATACTTCTGGCAACACATTATTCGTACATAAAAATCCCTGTACACATATTTATTCTTTTCAGACACGTCGAATGATAAATGAGGCTTGAAACATGTCATATGTGATATGTTGTGTGACGAGTACGACACATGTACAGTGAGAACAAGTAAAAAAGTTGTAGAGTCCCTACCATGAAATATGTGTTAATGATATGCACCGTTGTTTACAACTGTGCAAACAACACAATTCTCGTTTGTTTGCTCCCAGTGAAGCTCCCAGTGGTGCGAGACAGATCCGCGCCTCTATCAGAACCTCAATGAGTGGCGTTTATCACTTTCATTTTTTATAATGTTGCCCCATTTCTCGGGAGCCTTACCACGAGTTATTAAAAGAGGACGAATGACATAAATTAACAGTATTATTTTACTGACGGAAAGGATTTTGTTACAAAAGTCTGCATTATAATTCGTCCTAAACTTTTGAACACGTCACAGATTATAAAAGGGGGCTTGGTATCCTGCAGGTAATTATTCAGGATGAACTGCCTCACCCCTACCACGGACGACACAAAATACTCCAGGTTCTCTGACTTATTCTTGAAGTTTGTCGCTGTGCTAAGCTGGAACTATAATCGCCTTTCGGGGAATCGCAGAAAAATGTCTTTGTGAGGTAAAGATTAGAATGCAATTTCCAGTGGGAGTAATTGCAATTCCCTAAAGCTAAACCTGTTGTAAATAATGTGTGTGGCTGTAAGACCTGACAGTGGTGGCTAGGTACTTTCTTAGCGAGGAATATAAGGATATAATACGTAACTCTTATTAGCACCTGAATTTGTAAACAATATGGCATTCGATAGGATATTGGGGCTTGACCTTACAGACGAGGTGTCATACGGTAATCTGAATGGTTCACAAAATTGTTACTAAGGAAAGTTATCCTGGAAATTCCCGGTAGGTGTATGAGGAGAAAACTTAATGAGATACTCGTGTAGCTAGATGAGGCAATAATTGTGGTATTAGTAATGGATGGTCTTTAGTTTGGCGCGAATAATTGGACCAAATTAGAAAAATAAGGTATTATACTTTCTGAGCAGTTATATTGTCATTATTGAAATTTGTTCACCATTTAACTAGGATTTATTTCTCTTTATCAAATTGAGCTCAACTTTGGGTTTCGCTAACGCCTTACAACATCTAACTACTGTGTCACTGTTTGCATGAAATATACGATATTTTGAGACAATGAAGTCTTACTGAAGGGGAGATGTGTGTGATACTGTCAGGTCTGATCACATGGAGGGCTTTATCGTGATAGTGATGAGAAACAAATGTTGAGGAGCTTTGACATACAGTACATGTCGACGGGTGTCACACCAGAACAAGATAAAACGAAAGAATACCTGAACAATTGGAAAATTAGGAAAACAGTTTTTGCTAATCATATAGAATGACGGAGGAATTATAAGAGAAACCTGCAGATGTAATGTACGATCCTTGGAACATAAGCAAATGATTGTTAGTGCACTGAGGAGAACTCCGTGGAGTGTTGGATCGAGGGTCTTGGACGAAATATTTCATGTGGAAGTTGAAATACAAGCTGGTGACTAAGAGGTTGTATAGTCTAAGGGTTTATACATTTTCAAATATCCTATACATAACCAATAAAGATAATAAAGAGAAAGCACACAATTAAGTTAACCATAGAATCATTAAATATCAATCTGTGTACTGGTTATGCATTCAAGCAGATGGCGACACAGCCAGTTTCGTAAAGACGACAGGTGGCAGGGTGCGGGGCGGTTCTTTGAATACAGGAAACGACGACTTTTGTGTTAACATATTGAAAGGTTTTGTCTACAGATTTGCAGGGCAAGATGAAGGACGGGGAGGTGAGTTGAGTCCATGTGAAATTGTTCGGGTCTCAAAGCACTGTTTCATACAGCCTTGTCTGAGGATTAGAATAAAGTTTCATATGGGTTTGTTTAGGTCTTGGGGATATATTAAACATTGGTTCATCTGGGCTTTAGGTCAACGCTTTCCACTAGTTGTTTACATCTTGAAGCAGCGATTCAGAGAAGCACGTTTGGATCACTGACAGGAGGCCGACAGGGCCTCGTTTTGGGTTGGAATGATTTACAAAGATCCGTTACATCCTGGAGGTGTTGGTGATTAGACGGTCTACATCAGGCCCGAAGTCATTAGTCGTTCCTAAATCTGTTGAAAAAATAAAGACATTCAGTCTTGCAAATGAAAATAAGTTACATAATTATTACCTACTTGTTTCTGATTCTGTGCGTGTAGGTTTGGTATTGAGAAAACAACGTTGAGGCTTAATTAAGAGGGACACAAAGCTTACGTTTTTCATATCTAACAACAAATTAAAGAACAAGAACCCTTAAGCTCATCGGAATATCTAATAAAATTTACACTGTAGAGATATCAACAATTTGCTTTTAACAAATATCTAACGTCATTTCTTAAGGGAAAAAATCTACTTCTTAGAATATAATTAAATTTAATATACCATTTGGCAACTGTAGCCAGTAATGCCCAAACAACTCCTATGCACCACTAAACTTCCTTCTGTGCTCCGTCCACACAGCGTCGCAGCCCTCCATCACCACGAAGGCAAGGATTTACTCCGACTTTTCCCTATGGCTGAGCCTCTCTCCCCCACACACACCATCACACCTCAATCGCCTCCCTTACAATATTGCCTCATCTTGATCCACTGACCTGTTATACTGGACGTTCGTACGGATTTTATTATTCTCGTCCTTCACATTGCGTCAAATAAATTTCTTAAACGAACTCCTCCTATTATAGTTCTTTTCTTTATGTCAGTTTTTATCATTTATTCTCGTCCTCTAACTCTGGCCTGTCTTGTACTATGTTTCACAATAGATTTGACTAACCTAACACGCTTTACCGGTGTCTCATACAAGCGTTCTTACTGCAAGCTTTTACTTAGCCTCTTCCACAAAACTTTAAACCGGTATCACTGAATTATTACCTCACAGTTGTCTTCACTCTCTCTCAAACTGGTGCATCACACTAGTACCTGTGACTGGTGCATCACACTAGTACCTGTGACTGGTGCATCACACTAGTACCTGTGACTGGTGCATCACACTAGTACCTGTGACTGGTGCATCACACTAGTACCTGTGACTGGTGCATCACACTAGTACCTGTGACTGGTGCATCACACTAGTACCTGTGACTGGTGCATCACACTAGTACCTGTGACTGGTGCATCACTAGTACCTGTGACTAGTACCTGTGACTGGTGCATCACACTAGTACCTGTGACTGGTGCATCACACTAGTACCTGTGACTGGTGCATCACACTAGTACCTGTGACTGGTGCATCACACTAGTACCTGTGACTGGTGCATCACACTAGTACCTGTGACTGGTACATCACACTAGTACCTGTGACTGGTGCCTCACACTAGTACCTGTGACTGGTGCCTCACACTAGTACCTGTGACTGGTGCATCACACTAGTAACTGTGACTGGTGCATCACACTCACTTCAGACGGAGGAGGACATCCTACTGGGCCAGAGGGCGGTGAGAGCTCTGGACTGGGTGGTGTCGTCGTCGTCAGGGTCATCACAGTAGCTGCTCACTACCCTGACTCGCGGCGTGGAGCTGGAGGCGGACACTCGATCTGCTGTGGGTAAACTAACGTTAACTTTCTCCCTCACAAAATCCTACAGCAGAAAATTTTACCAAATAATTTCTCAATGGGCAAAAACGCCCCACGAAAATTAATAAGTGCACACAAATTTAAAACATAAAATCCCATTTGGAGAAAGTTCAACCAAGCTATTTTATATTGAACAATACCTCAATGGACAAAATCCCACTGAATAAATTGCTTCCCAATAAAATCTCACTCAGTTATTTCTCAATGTATAAAATTATTTCGGCAAAATAATGAACAAAATCCGACTGCTCAGGTGTTATAGCATACCCTGTCAGCCATATATAATAGACTTAACTAGAATATATTTCAGGATACTGGAGCTAAAAACATTGATCTTCAAGAGTGTTGCGCTTATCCGCCAGCTACACAATTTCTGCTTAAGTGATATGAAATTTTTTGATTCACAAAAGGTCAACTTTGATGACGATACAATCTACCAAAAAGGCTTCACTTGAATCTGCTTTAATGTACCTTGTGCAAGCAAAGACTCTGATTTTTTTCCTGATTATTCCTTTAATTATGAAAGAATATACTCGTATCTATGGAAAGTTGACATGTTGTACCCCTATGCATTTGACTTTGCAGAAAACCCCATTAATTAGAATGTTTTATAATATACTTTTTTCCATGAGCCATTTTCTGCAGTATTTTATCAAAACAAAGCTCAACAGACATATAGGTAATAGTCATTCTCCACGTTAACTTATTATTAGTAGCAATAGCAGTTGTTGACTGTGTTATACTAGTAGTGTAACAATTACTAGCAAAGAGGACATTACTACCAATATACCTGTTGATAGTTTGCACGTAGCACACACACACACACACACACACACACACACACACACTCACATTTCTTTAGCTTAGAACTTAAGGGGCCCCACAACTCACCATGTGCCCTGGGCCCCGCTCAAGCTAAACATGTCCCTGCAGATAGGGCCCCACCACCCTGAAGGAAGTATACAGTAAATGGGTCAATTACTTCTTACCTCCGGAGGAAAAGTTGATGTGTGTGGTGTTGTTATGTCTTCAGGAACCATTGTGCTGACTGACTGCTCTATGATGTAACAGAGGAGGAGAAAAAGATGGAGGAGGAAAAGGAAGAGAAAGAAAAAGCAAAATGAGGAGGAGAGGAAATAGAAGATGGGGAGGAAAAGAGAAGATATAAGAGAGTGGAAAAATAGGCAGATGAGGCGAAAAGTGGAAGAAGTGGGAGGAGAAGGAGGAGGAGGCGGCGATGATAAATGAGGTTGAAGAGAAATAGTCAGAGGAAGTTAATAAAAAGATAATATAAGTAAAAGAAGAAGGAACAGGAGGAGGAGATAGAGAGTCAAGTGATCACACGAGAGCCACATGAGAGATGAGACTCACAATTGGCAGATATGAGGACGTCCGGGCCAGCCCGTGGGTCTGCCTGTGAGTGGTGGGTGGGAGTGGTGGGGCCAGTCTTAGTGGTGGGCGAGGACGGGCCTACAACATCACCCACCACGCCCTCACCCCCTCTACTCTCCCCAAGCTGTAGACATCTGCATCTAGGAGGAGAGAAATGGTTAAAGATCCCTCCTGCCTTATGTTTATTGCATCTTATATGTATATATTTATATTTGGCATCTGAGCAGTCATATACACACACACACACACACACACACGCACACACCAGTAATTACCTGTATGTCCGTAGTAGTGTGAGGGAAACACCAAGCAGCAGGAGGCCTACGAAGCCTCCCACCAGTCCCAGGAAAACCCCCACCAAGGGCGACACGCCTCCGGACGACACCTCCCCCATCCGCTTCTCCGCCACCTGTAAGGCACCAGGCACGTCAGGGTGTGAGAGGGAACATAATTTATGGTTGGTGAAGGTACGTGAAAGTATATGAAAGTGTGTATATGTGCAGGTATATGGAGTAAGTGAAAGTATGTGTGGTATTTGGAAATATGTAAGGGCATGTATGGAAATGTGATGGTATTTGAGAATATGTGGGAACATGTGAAAGTGTGTAAAGGCATGTGAGGGTAAGTACAAGTATGTGAAAGTATGGGAGGATATGTGTGTGTGTGTGTGTGTGTGTGTGTGTGTGTGTGTGTGTGCGTGCGTGCGAATAAATTGGGTGAGAGGGAGTTTGAGTGTATGTGTGTAAGTGGCAGTACTTATGGGGTGCAAGAAGTGTGCATGTGAAAGGCTGTGAATGGATGGGTGTAGTAATTGTGTTGCCCGAGAAGTGTATTCAACTTTGTCTTGATGTACACTTACAAAACAAAGAACGATAATTCTCATATTTCTTGCTGTCTACGCCTATATCTATGTCGTTTATGCATATAATAAATAGTAATGGCCCAAGTACTGAGCCTTGGGGTACTCCATTAGTGACGTTACCACAATCGGATTTAGTGCTTACTCGCTGTTTCCTGTCCTGTAACCACGCCCTAATCCAGTTTAGAACTTCCCCAATTCCACATGCTTCCACTATACGTATTAGTCTTTCTATAATCGTGCAAAACTTTTTTTTTTTGGCAGACTTTATTTCATTTACACCCCGCACTAGTCTCTGTGGAATTCGCTGCCTCAATGTTTTACTTTTTCTCATATAACCTTCACTAGTTCAAATGATCCTGCTTCATATATCGTCAGTCTTTGGGAAGGGGTGAATAAATTTTACAATGACATTCATCTGATCTCTCCTCCCTGCACCATTTACTTGTTTAAAATATTCGAGTAATTACTGTTCGTCTCTCTTTCATTTTCACTTGTATATCTGGTTGTTTCTAGTTCCCCCTTTCTATAATCAATTGTCTTGTTTACAGTACGCATAAACTAATTATACACTCTGGTTGATCGACAGCTTTTGCGTAATTATGAACACCGGTCCAGCTGGTGTTGCATCACCATACGTAGGTCACAGGTATAATTGGAGCTTAATGATTGGTTCGCCAGCAGCCAATAGTTGATTATCAGTATTTCATCACCACCATCAATAAGTGTCAGGATAACCATGTCCAATGATGAAAATTTGCCACAGTATCAATTACTTAATTTTTGCATAATGTGACGATTTTGATGATATTATAAGTTATGATGCCGGTAAGACATATGAGGGCGTTGTTTAGAGGGTGTTAAGTAACCGGCACTCACTAATGTACGTATTGTACAGTGTTCCGGACGTTTGATGGCCAGTATGACGCCACGTTCTTTACTACCATACACAGATAACATGATCAGAAAACATCATTGCATTATTCACTTGTATAATAATGTTATTATCAGATTAAACTCGAGTGAGAAAAGGATGTTTATTTACGTATATACTAACGGAGCCATTACAGCATGACCAATTTTATACTCGTCGATGCCACTTCTCCCGATGCTCATTTTTTTATTTATTAACACGCGTTAATGCGTACATTTTATACTTACTAAATGGCAATGAGGATAGCCTGTATTACCTGGCCCTCTATAAATTTTATGGCAATTATTTGTATTTATTAACAGGCTTTACTAAATACATTTATTTTATGGATGAAAAACTTGAAGGTGAGTCCCAACGCCTTGAGGCTCGCCAAGGGCAGTATGGATACAGCACACTGTTGACTTAGCCTTCAGTACACATTTAAACACCGTGACCGATACTGCACTACACCGCTTTCCTCTCTTCTAACGGTAAAATTAGGTAACTATTCTTCAACTCACCGTGCAGTAGCTTACTGTGAGACTAGGCCTGGCAACCGCTAGGTCAGGAGATGAGAGTTACTACATATCCACTCTGCTACAGCACCCCTCAATTCATTTTGTATTGGTTGTATTTGAGAAAATTAATGGGGCAACTCACCTTGAGCCGTATGGCATCAATCTCCTCGGGCTGGCTGGCGCCCTTCTGGTTGATAGCTGTGATGGTGATGAGGTAGTCCTGGCCAGGTGTTAGCCCGCTCACCTGGAACCTGGGATGTGACTCCTCCAGGGTATCGAGGAGGGTGTGGGTGGAGGCGTCATACACCCGTCCTACAAACCACTGTGGGAGGCCTCCGTCACCTCCCGGCGAGCACACCACCTCCAGCGTACCCCCTGTGTGGTTCACCAGCTCGCAGTCCTCAACCCGCTCTGGCGGGCCTGGAAGTAAAGTGTGGGTGAGCACGTAGAATATAGGCATGGGAGAGTGAGTGGCAGAAATGTGGCTGAGCTGCAGTGTGGGCGTGAGAGAGGGTGAGCAGGAGAGAGGTTGAGTTGTAGTGTGGGCGTGAGAAAGTATGAGGGGAGATGGTCAGAAAGGGAGAGGGTGGGGGGGACTTATACTAATACACCAAAACTTCTCCTTACACCTACGTAAAAGTGCATCATAACACAATCACCCTGGTATTAACGAGTCAAGCTGAAAACAGAAGGAAAATGGAAAGTTAATACTTGGATGAATAAGAGGTAATGCTATTGTTTCTGAAACACACACACACACACACACACACACACACACACACACACACACACACACACACACACACACTCACACACCTCTCTGTCTGCAGTAATGTGATAATGCATATTTTCTCACGCTTGAAATTGAATATCTTTAGTATACACAGTAGTGTCGGCGGTAATACCAGTAGATATTTCCTCACTACTATACTAATGTGCCTCTAAGTCATATTTACATACCTTATTATTATTTTTATGTCATTTTTATGTTATTCATAAATCTTCAAATTCTATTTATATGCCTGCTTGTCTATCTCTGTCTGACCTCTTGCGCGTCCCTTTGTCTGCTTGTCTGTCTCTATTTTCCCCTCTGCTTGTGTTTAATTCCCCAGGTATAAGGAGGGAGGTTCCCCTAGCCCATCCCTCTTCAAGTTATGCCCCTTGCTCCTCAACCTCCATCCACCCTGGTCTTTATCTTCCTCCCTCACTCATATATCATGCTTCTTCACCGCACTTTCTCATCTCTCATTCTCTGTCTGTCTGTCTGTCTGTCTAACACTTGTCTCATACTGATTTAGGTAAGTAAACTGGACATAAATATTTGCCTTAAATTACAATTACTTATTATCAATTTAGGACACCTCAATGAATTATTAATACATATTTCAAAATTAAATCAAGGTATTGAGGCAGAGGATTTTTTTCTCACTAGCAAAAAAACTAAAACCCAGTAAAGTTATTCATTTTTTATTTTGATCCTTCTGTTACAGGATCCAATATCGTTGTTCTTTTGTTTTGTTTTGTCAGCTGTCATGATGCAGTTTTACAGGAAATAATATTGTTAGAATTGTTATTTTTTTTCTTTAATTTCATATTACTCAAATCTACTGAATCTTTATTTATACTTCCATTAACTTATTGACTTGATTCAGTATTAAATAGTCTCACGAACGCCAACTGTTAATCTGCCGAGAAGATAAGTAGCTCGTTAAAGTACATGTGTATAGCTAGAACACTGAAATACAAGATGGAGGATGAGAACGTTAAAAAAAGATGAGCTGAACGGAGTCACTGACACTTTATCTGGTAGAGGAAAAAATCAAAACAAAGAACTGAAGAGCTGAGGAAAACAAATGTGAATTAAGGAATTAAAGAAACTCTAGACACTTAGTTCAAGTAAATAGGGGACATGAAGTAGATGGGACTAAAGAGGAATGGGAGAAAATTAATAGTGCTATCATGGAAGAGTGTAGCTGGGGGGTGTAGGTGTATAATAATAGGTAGAAAGATCAAGAGAGAGAGAGAGATGAGAGACTGACTTTGTTAATTAAGAAGAAGAAAGAAGGATATAAGCGCGAGTGCAAGTGAGGAATGTTAATGAATGTAGGGGAAGTGCAGATAAATTAGGAGGAATGTAAAGAAAATTATGAAAGAATGCCCCCCAAAAAACTAGCAAATGAAGAATGGGGTAAAGACAATAATAAAAGTTACCACATAGATTAAGAAGAAACGATAAACTGTTCTTATGGAAACTGAGTAGGGGTGAAAACCAAGAGAACAAATAGAAACGACAATTAAATATTAAAGAGGAGATATTTGCGAGGAAAAAATTGGTATATAACGGAGATAGGAGAAAATACTTTACGTAACTTGTAAGTGTAAAGGAGGAGAGATGAGAGGAGTTGTCTGGTTTGGAACGTAGGGAAATTAAGAGTATCTAAGTGAAAGAGAATTACAATGAGCTGTGGGGGGAGGAGGGGGAACTGGTAGCAAACTTAACCCCTTAAATACTATGACTTTAACCCTTGGTGTATAATATTATCGTTACTTAAGTGAATAGGTTATGATACCTCAAGGGGTTAAGACATGGTATTGAAGAGGGTTGTCATCGTACTGAAGAGGGTTAAGTCATCGTACTGAAGGGTTTAAGGGGTTAAGTCACTGAACTCAAGTGTTAAGGATGGGAAGTGGAGAACTGTTCGAGTGGATGACAACAGTGCAGAGGTGAGATATAACACAGGGAAGCGTACAGATATATATTGCATTTATTATCATCACTTTCTGTTTGTAAAGGGTAATATACACATTCACTGTCATTCACCTCTGTACGCTTCCCTGTGTTATGTCTCACCTCTGCACAGCACTGTATGTTGAGGATACCAGGGAATATGTGTGTGATAAAATGATTACGGAGAGAAATAGTGTATTGCCAAATCAGAGAATTTATTAATAATAATGGTTGCCCCTCGTGTAACGAGGATGGCCGGCCCAAGGGCCACCTAGGCGTGAATTTGTTTAAGGTGTAGAAGCTGTCTTCAACACAGCAACCACACCTTAAGTTAACGAGCTGCATTACCCAGTGTCAAGGAATAGTCCGAGATGACCGGACAACTCGCCGATCCGCAAATCGATTAACATCCAGGTTCCCAATTACTGCTGAGTAGACAGAGGCATATGGAGCAAAGAAACTTGCTCATAGTTTCACCCTGCCGTGGATCGAACCCGGGTCCGCTCGCTTGCGAAGCGAGAATGCTGACCATTACACCAAAGGTCTCAACTAGAGTATATATTAGATATGTAGTGTGAGTACAGGAAAGAAAAAGATGTTTATAGGAAGTTTTTGAAGTGAGCAAAATGAGTGAAGAGTTTTGAAGATGTAGAATTGTCTGTTTATGTGTTTCTGTATCACGGAAAAGTAGATGATTGAGTTGATTAGTCAAATGACGAGACATATATTGGAAATGTATGGAATAAGAGAACAGTTGCTGAATGTCATGTACTGTACATTCATGAAGAAAGGGAATAAGGTATTAGAATGTGGCAGCGCAAGAAGGACTACGTTAAAAAATGCAGAATGTCGCCATAGTTGTTCAACACATACATGGGTGAGACAGTGATTGGGGTGACCGCAAGAATATTGGAGAGGAATGAAAGTTTGTTAAGCAGGGATGGAGAAAACAAATGAGTATGAGTCAGCTGTTGTTTACAAATGACACTGCTCTGATTAAGAAAAAAAAAGTTGTAAACAAGAGTGAAAAAGTCTTGGTGAGTGTACACAAGTGAAAACAAATGTAAATGTGAAAAGAAAAATTAAGTAATGATATGTAAAGAAGATAGGCAATGAGAATTAAATATTAGAGATGATTGGAGATAAAGTAAATAATGTGAGAGGCTTCAAATTCCTCAAAGTGCATGTATCAGGGAGTGGAAAAAACAACAATAATTTGAACCACAGAGTAGCAGTCACGGGAGCAGTAAGAAACATGGATTCTAGATGAAGTAGGAAAAGACAAATTAGAAACTACAGAAATGACGCGTGTGACAGTAATTTGTGGGATGAATAAGACACAAAGAATTAGAAGAACACGAATCAGAATTATGAAAATGAAAGAAGAGTTGGACAAAGAACAGGTTAAGGTCTGCTCAAGTGGTATGTATATAATGTGAGAATTAGAAGATAAAAATTCGTAAAAGGAGCGTAAAATGCAAAAGTGGATAATAAAGGTAGGAAGGAGAGAGAGATGAGGTGACGAACACACTAGAAGAGAGAAGGGTGGACATTTAGGAAGCAGCTTAGTAAACAACTGAGAGGAAAGCTTAATGCAAGAGTATAAGTGGACTGAAGGAAGCTAAAACAATAACACTGAATAAATAGCAGCAAATTATGAGTGTGTTTACACTTGGTCTGGCCACCCTGCAGTATAGCTTAAAAGTCATTAAAACAATGTTTAGTGTATGTATTGACCCACTGCCAGAGAAGGAGTTCGTGTGTTTTATTCCTTCATTCTCTACCTTCACAGTGTGACTTAGCTACTAGTTTACCTAGATGAATTCCATACAGTTTCTCCGGTTCACTAATGCAACCTATGGCTGATTACTGACAATCATTATCTTAATTATGGCAATTGATGGCTGAAGACTAGTTACCATGTCAGTCCTATGTAATGATGGTGATGATAACAGACATTAATGAAACTGGACCTCTGCGTGTGAACAGGGATCACTACCACCGCGCCACAAGGACAACAAAAGCAATTCTAGGCTTTGTTTTATTTCACACAAAGCCTGTTCATTCGTCTTTGTTAAGCAACGTGAACCTCCATTGGGGATTACTACACACACACACACACACACATAGAGGGGACACTGACCTGCCTCGAGGACGGTAAACTGGCAAGGATCGGCCTGTGTGCCCACGGTGTTAGTGGCCCAGCAGGACAGGATCCCATAGTCCCGCGACGACCTGCCCGTAGTGGTGGGGAGAGGAGGAGAGGGGTGAAGAGACAGTGATCCATAGCTGGTTAGTGTGGCAACGTTGTCAATAACATTAGCATAGTGATGAAGTGTATTAGGTATATCGCTGTTTTAAACACAACTGGGTATAATTAAATTCGTAAAGCTGACTGGTTCATCAGGCAATTATATATATAATTGGAAAATTTATGGTAAAAAGTTCATGTGAGTGCTCGTAATTTACGTAACGTAATAATATACTTTAAAAAAAACATTGCATTAGCCCATATATTCATTTATATATTTTCTGATAAATTGAAAACAGTATATTGGTGCCTATAAACTACTATAACGTATTGTTGTCGCGTTTACCTTTGTTCCCTTGGACCTTTGGCGGCCTGCAGAGAATAATCCAAATACCAATGATACAGATAGCCAAGGGGCACTCAAGGTAATGATGTAAATAGATGAGACTCAAGCAACACTTAGGCCTACACTGTGGCGGGGAGGGCATGGGACACGATGACAATGAAGCTACAACAGGTCTGGACATTATTGACACCTGTGCACTGGGGATGGGACAGTGTACCTGGGGGGTGTAGCACCTGGGGATTAGAGTAGGGAGGGTGAGGGTGGTACAGTGGGGGTGTGATACAGTACCTGGGGGTGTGATACAGTACCTGGGGTGTGATGAGTACCTGGGGGGTGTGATACAGTACCTGGGGTGTGATACACCTGGGGTGTGTACAGTACCTACAGTAGCACCTGGGGTGTGTGGTACAGTACCTGGGGTGTGATACAGTACCTGGGGGTGGTACAGTACCTGGGGGTGTGATACAGTACCTGGGGTGTGATACAGTACCTGGGGGTGTGGTACAGTACCTGGGGGTGTGGTACAGTACCTGGGGGTGTGATACAGTACCTGGGGTGTGATACAGTACCTGGGGTGTGATACAGTACCTGGGGGTGTGATACAGTACCTGGAGGGGTGTGGTACAGTACCTAGGGGTGTGGTACAGTACCTGGGGGTGTAGTCGAGGAAGCTGAACCCTTTGCGGACTTGGATGCGGTGTCGCTCGACCTCCACGGTATCGAGTGTGTTGTTGAAGTACCAGGTGAAGCGTAGGTCATCTTCAGGTTTAGCATCCACCCGACACGTCAATCGTACGTCTTCACCCTCCGCCACCGTCACCGTCTGTGGCCCGCCCTCGCACACTGGCAGGTCTGTGGGCGTGATAAAGGATGGGTAGTGAGATGTTTACTATGTCCACGCGTAGACACGTACTAGCAGGTTTGTGGGCGTGAGGGTGTGGGTGTGAGGGTGTGGGTGTGAGGGTGTGGGCGTGAGGGTGTGGGTGTGAGGGTGTGAGGGTGTGTGGGTGTGAGGGTGTGTGGGTGTGAGGGAGTGAGAGTGTAGGAGAAGGATGTGTACAAGTGCAGAAGTGTAAATAAGTTAAACAGAAGAGTTAAACTGTCTATACACACACGCTAGGAAAGGACGATGTGTAGGCGAGTGGAGGATCATATTAAGATGTGTATACACCTGAGAACGTACACAAATGATACTGTTCACATTAACGGGGCTATGCATATATGTGGATGCTCACATGCGTTGGTGTACACACGGGTGTCTATATATAGGAGATGATGTACAGTCCCTTCACTAGTGCGTTTACAGGGGCTCGTCAGTGTGGCAGCCCTGTGTTTTTTTTACATTCGACAAAAGGAAACTGGCAATAGTAAACATACTATGTAATCAAATTAAAAGAATATTAAAACTAATGAAAGGACTGTGCTACATATCGTGGGGCGGATAAGGGAAATAATTGTGTACTTTGTGACATAAGCATGAAAATTGGCATCAGTATTTACCTATAGGCCTATATGCTCATTACTTTTCTTAATGGGACTCATCTCACCTAGCCCCAAGTGGCCATAGCTGACACTAAAAGTTTTCCGCTGTCTCGTGTAAGGAAAGATGCCATATTACGCCTTGAAGAATTGATAAGAAGATCATTAAAGAGGGTAGAAATAACTGTAAGAAGACATATTCTGAACTAATTGAACACTAATCACACATTTGTTTGCCTCAGGTGAGCGATAATAGGGGGAGTTAGTTACACTACTCATGGATGTGTCACAAGGAGTCAACATTTGTTTCCATATAGTGAACCTACAAGTCTAATTCAATATTATCTTCTTATTGTACTTTAAAGGTCTCGAGCCTCAAACTAATACCAGTAATAATGGTCAGGCAGACTGGTGGTAAAGTTGTGGTATTAATGATAGAAACATGGGAATTGACACACTATTAGGTCACGTCTTCATAAGTATTTTCAGCTACACAGCCATTGAGTATTATTTCCCTGAGCACCATGGTAGCCATCTAACAAAATGGTCGCCCCTATACGAGAGAGTCTACTTCTATGATATGTTCTTCCACATCTTGTTTATTGCCTCACATGTTCTTTAAGGTAAGGCTCCTAGATGTTCCCTACCTGTAGATGGGGACTATATCTGGATTATTTTGCACTTGAACGAGGTATCAACTCATGCCGGGTGGTGTCTCCTTTAGTGACCTTGATCAATAAATATTTGACATTAGAAAAACAGCAGCTGTAGGAGTTATTATGATAAACACATACACCAAATATGGACACGGTAGTTCTTGCCCATATCGAGGTATATTGTGGGGACCAGTGATGTCGTGTTAACTCAAAATGCAACAATAATAATTTCACGAAGCCTTGAAATAGTAAAGCACATAAAAATTATCTATGACACGTTACCGCTTCCATCGTTAATATTTGTTGAAAATAAATTATATAGCACGTGAAAATTCAGGGAATTCTACTACACTCCCTTCCTGGTTTATATGTATTGTGAAGGTTAGGTGAAAATGTACTAAGTACGCACATTTTTTGAGTAAAATTCTGTTGGTACCAATAACATAAGCGCACGCACACACACACACACACACACACACACACACACACACACACACACACACCATCCATAACTCAACGATCCACCCACACATACAAAAATACACCTACAGAAAAGCATAGTTTACTTACACACCACGCAAACACAGATCTGACTCAATAATGTTCCGTCAGTGAGTGAGTCAGTTACCAAACAATGTATAAAGCCGAAGCGAACTTAAAAATCTTTACAGGAATATCGTTTAACAAAATAGAAGCAAAAAAAAAAAAAACCCGGGGATAAATGGGACAGATATACATTAGTAGAGGGGACAGAGAAGACCTCAGCCCCGGGAGATATGGACAAAGTTATGTGACCTATGTTCAAAGTTTACCTGAAAAAAAATGGGGGAACATTTCACTAAACCTTGTCTATACCTATTGAGCAGAACCCCTGATGCGTTATTACTATTAGTCTGACTTTTCACTATTATTATTAATGGTAATATTATAAGTTTTTTTATCCTTACTGTTTGTTGATGTCATTATTAATCATATTGTTACACTAATTAATTTGTTTACAGAACCTAATCATTATATATATATCGTGTGTTACAGTAATACCTCCAAGTGACATCATACATAGAGACACTCTAAGATGTATACGAGCATATCTAAAACCGGACTACTACCTTAATCACTGAAGTACCAAACATTGTCAAGTGAGAAAATAAGACCAGAGACAGTGGCTACCTCTCCTCAGCCGCGCTACTCTCGAGAGTCTGGTGACCAATTTGCTTCAGTCTTGCCAGTTATAAATTAAGTCAGTGCAGGATTTTTGTTTACATATGTTTCAAGAAAGAAAACTAAATTTATAACAGCTGCTACACAGTTAATTTAAATTTAGCAGCTAATATATTGTGTTCCCCAAACTCATTCTGTGAGCTGGAGCGTAAAAAAAGGATTACGGAGTTGAGGTCATAAAGGGTATTTAACAGACCCGAAGGACCAGGATATTATGGTTCTGAGTGTTACAGAGAATTTCCAGAGCAGTGAATGTTTAGTTGTGTACATAACCCGGCATCACCACCATCAACAGATCTCTTAACCCTCACCAACACATGATTCAGTATATTATGGTGATATTATCGTATGCACTGTACACCTGAACAAAGCTCAGTACCACGAGGTGACCAAACTAAAAATTAAACAAATGAATTAATATCACGTACCAGCCAACAAACTCCTCTCTCTCCTTCTGTTATATATGCTTTGGATGAAACATATGTCAATATAACAGAAAACGAAAAGAGCGTAATTATTATGTCACCATTACAAAGGAAACTATCCCTGTATTATTATTACTTGGGGGAAACTTGCCTAAAACACGAGGAGCACCTACGAAATGATTTTTCCCCCAAACTACAAAGTTTTCAGAAAACCTCCACTTGGCCTCCCTCGCCCCAGGCTCAAACACCTCAACTTCAACACCAAAACTCTTAACTTGGTAAAAAATAATAAGTTTACGTCTCACTCTATTACCATTTTTTCCCCTCTACTAAACCTAACTTGAATTTCATATCCGGTGTTGTCAGATATTTTTGTATGCTACTGCGACTGTATCCGATGTTATATCCGGGTTTTGAAAATATTTCCAGTCAGTAAAAAAAAAATCGAGTGAGTTTACCGCTTTTTGTATAGCGATATTTGTCATTACCAAAAAGGAACAATTTCAGAGCCTATGTTTTAAAGATTTTTGAATTTATTAAAAAAAATAAGTTTACAACCAATACTTTTTCCTACTACAGGTAAATCCCGTTTCACATAAAGTGTTTGAAGACATTTTCAAAAAGATTTCGTGAATATTGGTCTGTGTGTGTGTGTGTGTGTGTGTGTGTGTGTGTGTGTGTGTGTGTGTGTGTGTGTGTGTGTGTGTGTGTGTGTGTGTGTGTGTGTGTGTGTGTGTGTGTGTGTGTGTGTGTGTGTGTGTGTGTGTGTGTGTGTGTGTGTGTGTGTGTGTGTGTGTGTATTTCGTGAGAGAGAGAGAGAGAGAGAGAGAGAGAGAGAGAGAGAGAGAGAGAGAGAGAGAGAGAGAGATTTTAAGCACGAGATCCCAATGTAATCCTAATACATTTGCACCTCCGCTACTATTAATCAAATATCCTAGATGAAAAAACTAAAATGAAAAGATTTATTTCTGTAATTGGTAAACTTTACGGAGCACTACATAACAAACTCTGCCACACAACACCAAACACTCTCAGCCACCGCAACACAACAAACTCTCAGCCGCACAACACAACAAACTCTCAGGGACAACAATACTTATTTTAATCGAAAAAAAAAATCTTAACTGAGCAATATTTTTCACAAGTTTAGAAACGAACTCCTGGGATATGTGCTACTTACGCGTTCTCTTATCGACTCACCTAATAAACGTACCTCAAAAGCTTATAGATGGCGGCGGTCAGTAGAAGAGCTTTTTCATTTACTTTAAATAAAAAACTGGCTTACATATATGACGTCGAAACTACATGGTGACTCTACGTATTCTTTCATCCCAATTTATGAAGGAAAAATTAACATACGACGATGAATAATGGCCAAATTTACTGAGCAGATTAAAGAAGGATTGATCTTGCTTGAACTTGAACTTTCTGAACTGTTTACCTAATCTAACCTAACCTACGGTCTCCATGTTCGGTCCAGTGTTTCCTTGTCAAGCATCAGCTCCGTGTCGAGTATTCATTTAATTACAGATAGAAACACACACACACACACACACACACACACACACACACACACACACACACACACACACACACACACACACACACACACACAAAGCTAAACTTACAGCACCTTTGTTCTCCTGGTGTGAGTTAATAACACGAGGTCCAGTGTCAGAAAAATAGTGATTCTCTTAAAAATACAATAAATATAAAAAGGCAAGGAAACAAAAGAGATAAAAGGAGAAAAATCGGAAATGGAAAGCAAAACAGAAGAAAATTGAAGTTCACCAAAGATGGAAGTTTGAAAAATGAAAATTAACAAGCCGCTCAAACAACCGAATAACATCCAAACATTTACAAAAGCTTCAAATAAGAAAAAAAATCAAAGAAAGGGAAAAAAAATAAGTTTGCAATAGCCGTGAATAAGAGAAAACCAGGAGCCGACATCGGCCACTCACCAGAGGTAGGCAATTTCACAAATCGACTGCGGCCAGACCAGAAGGTTTACGAGGCCGGCCACCACATAGCTCAGCTCTACCCTGCCCGTGGTGCCTCCCTCCAGCTACTT